AACATCTTTGTATGTGGTGCTGAGGATCGAACCCAGGCCGCACACATGCCAGGCAAGCGCGCTACTGCTTGAGCCACATCCCCAGCCCCATAAATCACTTTTAAAAATTGTTTTGCAGTATTAGGAATTGAACCTAGGGCCTTGCGTATGCTAGGTAAGCATTCTACCACTGAATTACATCCCAGCTCTTTGTTAAACTTTTGGAACAGGGTCTTGCTAAGTTGCCTAGACTTCTCTCCTGTCCCAGTCTTCCAAGTAGCTGGGATTTTGGTCATGTATCACCATGTCCAGCTCATGATTCTCATTTTTAATAGGTAAGTTCATATTCCATTCTGAGCTGTTCTGTATCTTATTTTGTGATGTATTCTTTGACCCAGTTAGGTGGTTTTCAACTTTTCACCATTATAAATAACACTAAGAAAACCCTCTCTGCATATTTTATGTTATTCTTGGAAGTATAGATTTTCAGAAGTGAAATCACAGGGTCAAAAGGTGAGACACATTAGACTTAAAGGAACCAGAAAAGGTCCAAGCATGTGTTGTGGTCCCTAGGTTACCCCTGAAACAAACCATTCAGGATTATCTGGGCAACTATATTCTAGCTAGTCATTTCAATCTCCTTGAATGTCTACAGGTTATTATGGATCTACAAAATAATGAATGTTCCTCCATAGATTAACTGCTTCTCAGATTCAGATAGTTTCTTGAGAAACTGGTGAACAGCACATAGATAAGGGAGAAAACTTCTACATACAACCCTTAATGTATGTGCATACACAAACTTGTATATATAGCACTGGGTGATAAATGCCTGGCCTGGGTGAAAGTGTATGTCCTTTAACTCTACCTAAGTGACCAGCTTTGGATGACCATAAGTCATTGACATCCTCTTCCTGCCATGTAACCTGACCCTCAGTCCTTTTAGCCCACCATTCTCTGTAAAATCCTATGATGATAAGGCTTGATATCAACTACTGTATTCCACTAAAAAAAAAAACCAAAACACCTTATTTGTTGTCATCATTCTCATTATAGAATTAGATATCCTAAATTGTCTTTGTTTATTTTACTTCACAGATTCCCACTGGATTCTTCTCTCTGCTGATAGTGAGGGCTTCATCCCATTAACTTTCACAGCCACCCAGGTAATCATCGTGAGAGATGGCATCCTGTCCAGGTCAGATGTCTCCAGGGACCCTCTTTCTCACAGTCAGGATCCTCTTCCTTCACCTGAAGTCTTTGGAGACCTTATTGCCCAGGGTTTACATACCACTGGCTGTTCTAATCATTTAGATGGCGCGGCCTGATATCTGTTTGCAGACTATTTGCTAGCTTTTCAAATGAGATCATGACAAGCAAGGTCGTTTTTGCACTGTGGACTCTCACTGGTGAGATTTGTACTGTCACTCAGGTGAGGCATTGCCATGGCTAGCTCTGCCACCTTTCTGCTTTTTCCTCTGGGCGGAGGTACTCTGCTTGATAGCAGAGCTTAGTCATTGTTAGATGGCTCAGAAAGTGGTTGTTTATGTATTCATGACTATGGTTTTGCCTAAGGGCAGAATTCCCAGAACAAAACAATACTATGGTGCCATGTGGATTGTTTTGTGGTTTATCTGAGCTTTGTGTCCCTTGCCCAAAGGAGTGTTAAAACTGTCTTAGGAGCACTTACAGTATACTTCAGTGCTGTTACAGTCTTTTTCTTGGTTTAGAGATGAGGGTGAGGAATGCCACTGGAGAGCAGATGCTCCAATGTGTCCTTTTTAACCTAAACCCAGCAGGAATCAGCAGAGTGCAAAGGAAGCCAAAAAACTGGTTTTTGCTCCCAGGGCTGCCTGCAAAAGGAGGTTATACTGGCATTGGCCTTACCTTCTGGGGTTTAAACCTAACCTTCTTGCTACCCTAAACAATTCTGACTGGCAAAGGCCCAGATACTGCTAAACACTGACCCTAGGCAACTTTTTAATGGAATTTTAAGCAATTTGACTCCTGAAGGGTCCTTCTGAACTTGGGCTGATGCTACTAGTACAGTACCAAGTACAGGCAAGGCCTAATACTTGTCACCATTCTTTTGTGTTTGTGTACAGGTGAGGTGCTGGGGACCAAACCCAAAGCCTTGAACTTGCTAGGCAAGTCCTATACCACTGAAACACACCCCAGCTCAACTTGTCACTTTGATTTTGATATCTTTCTTTTTTTTCCTTTAAAGTGTTAGAAATTAGCCTAGATGCTGAAAGTATTTCAGACAGTTGAAAATTTCACTGAGAATCTGAGATTGTTCTAAAAAGTACCAGTTTATTAGACTTATAGGTGAAGTACCAGCTTTGTAGAGTGGAAAGAGCCTGAATCCCTTCGGATGGATGTACCACTTTTCACTCTCTTCAGACAGAATCACAGATTGCAGGCATCTCAGCAGAGCACATTGATCAAGGTGTGGCAAGACAGAGCACATCTGCAGATAAGTTGTTTCAGCTAGAGAAGCTCCATTAGCGCATACATGGTTTCCCTCTTTTCCTTTAAAATTATTTAGAAAGAAAATATTTTGTGCCCTTGGGGACTCCTGTCTGTCTATTTATTTAGATGGAGCTGGACAGGAAAGAAGCAAGGGTCCATTTTGTGGTTCACATGCATTAGACAGCTGCTGGGATAATGGAAGGAGAGGCCACTTGTCTGTAATCAGCAGCCTGAGAGTAGTGGCTCAGGACTGACTTGAGGCCTGGCTCCATTTGCAAAGGAGGTATCTGGGGTGTGATGAAATCACAATTATTAGAAAATCTAAAGAGGGGGACTAAGGAACCCCCGGATAAGATCAGTATGAATGCCTCAGGTGTGTGTTATAATTACCATTTCTTGACAGAGTCTTCTTGGTCTTCAATAAAGTCACTAATTGTGTTTGTGGCTGTTTTGGTATTTTCTTTGCAGTTGTTAATGGTATAGAGAAATGTTCTTGATTTTACATATGTGTATGTTGTTTTTGTGTTTCTGCTTCTTGTAAATATAGTCCAGAATATAAATTATATCTTTAAAACATCTGAATCCATGACAACTCTTATACAAAAGATGTTTCCTTGGCCTCTGCTATTAGTGTAGTCATTGGAACAATAGAAAACAACCCAATATTTGTTGGCTCTGGTGTTAGGGGAAGAAGAGCTAAATCCTTTAAATTGTTTTTGAATGTTACATTGAAAATATTTTGCAAGAAAAATGGTATTTACAAATTACATTTTATACCCAAATTTTCTCAATTTTTGAATGGGTGTTATTTAATTCTTGCAATTATATACAGAATAGGGTAACTTATAATTAAAGAGCCCACTACCTAATTTAAGAACCAGAACATTACCAGAAACCATTTAAGCCCCCATGTCCTTCCTTAATCCTGACTCCATAGCACCAGAGGTAACTAATGTCTTTTGCGTGTGTGTGTGTGTGTGTGTGTGTGTATGTATGTATGTGGTGCTAGGTATTGAACTCAGGGCCTCATTCATGCTACATAAGCACTCCACCACTGAACTACTTACCTAAACTATTTTGAAAAATTAGAGACAAACTCTTGCAAAATTGTCCAAGCTGGCCTTGAAACTGCAATCCTCCTGCCTTAGTCTTTTATTTTATTTTTTTTTCATATATTTTTTTTTAGTTGTTGATGGACCTTTATTTCATTTACTTACTTATATGTGGTGCTAAGAATCAAACCCAGTGGCTCACACATGCAAGGCAAGTGTTCTGCCACCGAGCCACACACCCAGCCCTGCCTTAGTCTTGTGAGTAGCTGGGGTTGCAGGTATGCTTCACTGTGCCCAGCTATCACTAACATCTTGATGGTTGAAATGATCATTTCTTCATTCATAAAAAGGAGTTTCACCACCATATATTACGCATTGGCCTAAAAATATAATGTTTATTTTTCCTTGGTTTTGAGTTTTATACAAATAGTATCATATTGTATGTAGTCTTCTTTGAATTGCCTTTTTTCATTCAACATTATTTCTAAGATTCAGTCTTATTATGTGTTTGGTATCTTTCACTGTTTAGAGTTGCCACAATTTATCCATATTCCCATCATGGACATTTGATCCCTGGTTTTATTTTTGAAATTTAAGTCATATTGCTTTGAATATTATTGTAAATATATCCTTAAGCAAGTGTTTGAAGTCGTTCTAGTGTCTTTTATCTAGAAATAGAGTTGGAATCACAAAAGTATGTAAATTTAACTCTGATTTTTTAATTAGAGTTTTTTTAACTTTGTTTTTGTGGTACTAGGGGTTGAACCCAGGGATGCTATACCACTGAGCTTCATCACCAGCCCTTTCTTATTTTTTTTAATTTTTTAATAATTTTTAAATATTAAATATAGTTGTAGATGGACACAATACCTTTATTTTATTTATTTTTATGTGGTGCTGAGGATCAAACCCAGTACCTCACATGTGCTAGGCAGGTATTCTACCACTGAGCCACAACTTTAGCCCCTCTGTTTTTCATTTTAATACAGGTTATCACTAAGTTACCCAGGCTGGGCTCAATGTGGCTTAATTTTTGATAGCCTAGTAATTTTTTTTTAATTTTTAAAAAAAATATTTATTTTTTAGAAGTAGTTGAACACAATACCTTCATTTTATTTATTTTTTAATGTGGTGCTGAGGATAGAACCCAGTGCCTCGTGCATGCTAGGTGAGCATTCTACCACTGAGCCACAACCCCAGTATAGCCTACTAATTTTAAATGGTATCTTACTATGATCCTAATTTTTTCTTACACACCAGAGATGATCTAGATATTTTATTAGCCATTCAAGTTTTTTGTTTTACAAAATGCCTATTCATGTCTTTTGCTCAAATTTTTGTTATCTTTTTCATGTTCTAAGGACTTTTGTTGTTGTTGTTTTATGTATACATAATGGAGTTTACTTAGCCATAAAGAAATATGAAATGATGTCATTTATTGGTAAATGGATGGAACTGGGGAACATCATGCTAAGTGAAATAATCCAGATCCAGAAAGTCAAAGAGCAAATGTTTTTTTCATTTGTGAATGGGTTTCAGAGGATCCGTCCACTGTCAGCTGACTCCATAGCTGTGGGCCTGGAGTGAGGCAGAACATCATGGTCAGAGGGCCTGGCAGAGGAAAGCAGCCCAAGACATTACAGCCAGGAAGCAAAGAGAGTGTGCGTATGCAAGCAAGGTTCTTTTTTATTATTTATTTACATTTAAAAATATTATTTTTAGTTGTAGATGGACACAATACCTTTATTTTATTTATTTTTATGTAGTTCTGAGGATTGAACCCTGTACCTCACATGTGCTAGGCAAGCGCTGTACCACTGGAGCCACAACCCCAGCCTCAAAGCAGGGATTCTTAACAGATTCTAGATGTCATTAATATTTGTTGCCAGTTATCTTTGTCCATTTTCTTTCTTTATGGTATTTTTTGAACATTTAATTTTTTTTATAACCCATAAGTTTTTATTTATTTATTTATTTATTTTTAATTTATTTTTATTTATATAAAACAGTGGAATGCATTATAATTCTTAATTTTAATGAAGTCCTGTTTATCTTTCCTTTTATGGGAATTTTATCTTTCACATTTATGTCTTTAATCAGTATTCTGCTGTTTTCTTCTAGTAATTCCTTATCTTATAAATCTTAAATCCATTATGAGTGGATTTTTTTTTTTTTTTTTTGAGGTACTGGGGATTAAACCCAGGAGCATTCTACCACTGAGTTCCATCCTCAGCCCTCTTTTTTATTTTTTGAGGCAGGGTCTCACTAAGTTGCTGGTGTTGAACTTGTGGTCCTCCTGCCTCAGGCTCCAGAGTGGCTAGTTTCTGTGTCTTCAGATGTCCACTGGAGCCTCAGAACTAAAGAGTCTGTATGTCTGTCCTTCTGTTGGAATTTTGCCATCTAATCAGCTTGGTTGGGCCTAGTATTACCGTAGAGAGTTGTAGGCCAGGCTGAATAGGGCTTCTTTTTTCCAGTAATAGTTGCTATCAGGATACTTTTTACATCAAAGGCTGCCTGGGGCTGGGTAGTCAGAGGTGCAGACCTATGTGAGAGAGTCTGGTTGACAGGTGAGAGATGCCATGTTGGGATTTTGAAGCCCAGATCAGTCCCTTTGGGAGACTCAGGGAAGATTTACTGAAGACTCCACACACCAGCAAATGTTGTGGGCTCAACTGCTAGGTAGGTGCTCAAGGGCTGAGTCGGGAGAGGGACTTAAGACCTCTAAAACACAGGTTCCTGCTGTCCCAGCTCATGGGAAGTTCTCTCACACTTCCTTTTCTGGTTCTGGGATTGAATCCAGGGGGTGCTCTACCACTTGCTATACCCCTGGCCCTTTTAAATTTTTTTATTTTGAGACAGGGTCTTCCTGAGTTGCTCAGACTGGCATCAAACTTGTGATCTTCTTGCCTCAAGACTCCTGGGGTTGCTGGGATTACAGGTGTGTGTCCTTCAAATTTTAAGCGAGGCTGTAGCTGGTCCTCCTGTAGAAGGGGAAAGACAAGGAGAAAGATGAGGATGAGGTGAGCCTCTGCCCTGCCACAGAGCCTCCTGGAAGTTTGAGTGGCAGTTCCTTATCTTCCAAGCAACCTCCCTTTTCACAGCCCCCTTGAAGCTGCCACCCTCTTCCTCCATCTCCCACCAAACATTTCCCTGCCTGGCTGGCACTGCCTGGGTGAGGTGCATGATCTCAGTAGTACTCTTTTTTTTTTTTTTTTTTAAGTTGTAGATGGACACAATGCCTTTATTTTATGTGGTGCTGAGGTTCAAACCCAGTGCCTCACTCTACCACTGAGCCACAACCTCAGTCTTCAGTATTACTCTTTTGAATAGTCCAAGGACACCAACACTGAGCCGTGAGGAGCAGATGATGCCACTTACTGCCACCCTGTGTGGTGCTGTGTGTGGACACTTGCCCATGTGCTTTAAGTGTAGGATATCTCCTTGCTAATGAGTCTGCTGGGCTGGACGTGGTGATATGGTTCGTGCATTCCCTGAGTACCTACTTGGCCTCAGGTCGTATTCCTCTCCTGGGGTACAAAAATGGATAGAACAATAGTCCCAGCCTTCAAGACCCACACATTTTTCTGGGAAGACCAGACAGTGAGCAGACCTTCCCCGTGCAGTGGGATTGTGCTCTGGCAGGGGAGGACAGGCTGGGAGGACTGCTCCATGCAACCATGGGAAGGAAGCGCAAGAGACTTTTGGGTTTGGCTTTAGGGTGGATGTTGGTGCCATTCACTGAGACAGATGCAGGAGGAGTTGAGGGGAAGAAGAGAGTTAAGTTTAGGGCCCACTGAGCCTGATTGTCATGCTGTGGGATAGCAGGTACACATGTCCAAATGAGTGAAATATGTGGATGTGGAACTTGAAGTTCAAAGTAGAGGGCAGCTTTAGGAGCCACCAAGTATGAGGTGCTCTAGGTCACACAAGTAGATGAGGTATGGGGGGGATGGGAAACAAAAGAATAGGGGATCAAAGAGGGAACCCTCACATACCCCCATCTACTAGATAGTCTTAGGAATAGCAGAAAGGGCGCCAGAGACCGAGGGTGGTGATGCAGGCCTATTATCCCAGTGGTTCAGGAGGCCGAGGCAAGAGGATTGTGAGTTCAAAGCCAGCATCAGCAAAAGCGAGGCACTAAGCAACTCAGTAAGACCCTGTCTCTAATAAAATACAAAATAGGGCTGGGGATATAGCTCAGTGACCAAGTGCCCCTGAGTTTAATCCCTAGTACCCCCACTCCAAAAAAAAGAAAGAAAAGGCAAAAAAATAAAAAAAGAGACCGGAGTAGAAGAAAATAGAGGACCAAATGGTGTCACTGAAGCTGAGTCTTCTAAAGGCAGAACAGCTCAGCTGAGTGGCACAGCAGATCTGTAGGCTGATGTTAGGTCATTAGTGTGTCTCCCTGTCTGTTTTGATCAGTGTACCCAGGCTGCCTACCTCCGAAGGCTTAGCTGGAGGGAGGTGTCCTGACTTGGCACCTTGGGAGTGGGGCCAACCATGAGGATGCACAGACCAGCCAGGATCATGCAGGTGGGCACAGCACCGATGAGGACTTTGAGGGTGACCACTACTTCCTCTGCCTGCTTGCAGGCTCCTGCCTTATATCCTGCAAACCTGGAGAAATACCACCCCACCCCAACAGTCATATCCTTCAGAGCCTGGGTGAGGGGCTCACAGATACCCACCCCCACACTCTCCTGAAATGTGACTTAATATTTCCTGGCCAGATCAGCCTAATGATGGAGGAGGGAATGTCGAGGAGAGCAGGAATGAGTGCCAAAGGAGCCGAGAAGACTGGCAGCAGGGGCCTGGGAGGTGGTACAGACTCTAAGAAAGGCTCCAGGTCATGTGCACCAGGTTCCCCACACTCTCTATGGGTGGCCCCTAGTTGGGAAGAGAGGGGGATTTGCCCTCTTCCCACTGTTTTTTTGTGCCTCTGGTATACCCAGCCCTGGACTGACTGCAGACTGAGGGTGGAGATGCCCAGGGCTCCAGCGCCTGAAAGTTTGGTGAAGAAAACATAGGATGCATAGAAGATGGTCTCTAGGCCAGGGCCGTGCCGGTGCTGCAGCTGGAAATCATCCACCACATCTGGCAGAATGGACCTGGGAACAGGTGCATGGAGTTAGCACTCTTCATACCCTTGACAGCCAGCAGCCTGTGGGCTCTCTGGAGACAAATGTGTCAGTCTTTTGTGCTCAAAACCAGGACAGACCCCCAGAGAGCCAGCAGTTTGTGTTCTTATATTCCCCACCCCCACCATTCTCGCCATTGGTGCCCTTTAGGAGGATTCTAAGGAGGGAGCTTGTGGCCTTTATCTCCTGCTCAGGGTGGACCCAAGACAGCAGGTTGGTCCAAAGGAATGGATATCCCCCCTTCCCTTCACCCAGCCTACCATGGTAGCAGCAAGGACACAGCAGTGCTCACACCAGAGACAAAGGCCACAACATATGCCACAGGTGCTGTGGGTACAGCAGCCAGTAAGATTGCAAAAGGCACCATCATCTGGGGAGACAGACACACAGGCTGGTCCCTCCACCCACTCCCTGGGCTTGTTCTTTCATTCCCACACTCACTGCTCTTTGAGCTCTGGGCCTGGTCAGCAGACACAAAGTCCAGACACAGATTGAGCCCTGCTGGCTTCAGGAGACCCAGGCACCCCTAGCCTTCCTTCTCACTCACAAAGATCCCGAAGGCTGGTGTCCTCTTCCCAAATCGCTGGAGAACCCACTCCCACAAGGGGGTGCTCAGCACAGCTGAGACCTGTGGCAAACAGCAGCATCACAGCAAGGCCCTGCAGCCAGCACTCGACCCAGCACCTCAAAGCCCAACCATGACCTTGCCCCTGGTTTGAATTAGCAGCTATTAACCTTGACTCTGCTTCCAGTTCCACCCTCTACTGTAGGTGACTAAGATCAAAGTCAACTACAGAATGTTGACCGTTAGAACACTGGCCACACATCTCCAGCTCAGGGCCTTAGGTGCCCTGGCCTTCACCACCCAGGTCCCCTCACCAGGATGATGAGCACCAAGTTTTGGACGTGGTCTTGGAGCCGGGAGGCATGAGTACAGAACAGGACCAGGTAGCTCTGCTCCACCTGAGGAGGTGAACGGGAGGTGGGCATATACAGGGAATGGCAGAAACTCAGAAATCAGGGGCAGGGACAGGGTCTCAAGTCTGGCCTCTTTGGGATCCTGAGCTCAGGTCACTGTCAGCATCATGCAGTCACCCCACAAAGGATGCTTTTCCCCAATAGACAGAAGCACTATTCCTAGTTCATCATCACCCCCTGCACAGCTAAGACCAGTTGGACTTGACTAAACTTCAGGTAACATAAGAGGAAACCACCCCAGACACTGTCAGCTTCCTAGGGCTTAAGGCCCCCAATTCCCCCACCTGACTCTTTTCCCAGCACATTTCTCTGAGCCGAAGACCCACCCCAGGTTCCCCCCTACAAAACTCAAGCCGAAAGACTGAACTCTGGACCTATGCAAGAGAGGGGATCAGGTGGCCAGAGATACCTGAACAGCAGTTGAGATGAACAGGAAGGAGACCACTAGCTTCAGATAGGGTGGGTGCCGGGCAGTGAGGCCCAGCCCAGCCAGGAAGCCCAGGCCTTGGCCTGAAGCAGAGGCAGAAGGATCTGCAACACAGGAAGGTGACATCTTGGCTTGGTAGGATTCAACACCAAAACCCACCCCCAAGAGGAGTCCTGCTTCCAGTTCTGGCCTCCCATTTCCTTGCAGCGCCTCCATACCTGGCTGCTCCTTCACCCCTAGGCAGAGCAAACCGCTGCAAACGTGGTAAGTCACCACCACCACAGCGGCTGCAATGGAGTAGAGACGAGTCTGTGGGACAGGACAGAACTGGGCTGGGGGTGATGTCTCCAACTCAGGGAGGTAGGGCCGAAGTACCTCCCAATGGAGCAGAGGAACCCTCAGCTCAAGCCCCAGGTGCTGGGTCCCTCTCTTCCATATCACTCAGAGGTAGGTCTAAGGGCCCAGAATGGTCCTTCACACACATCCAGTTCTGCTGACCCTGTGCTTCCTGCCTGGAAAGGAGGCATTGATGCCACCAGGGGTCAGAGCATTCACTTTCTCATTTCACTTAGCAAACATACATTGCCACTGACGTCTGCATGCTAGACCCTGAGGTTATGATGATGAATAAGTGACCTGGCCCATCCATGATAAGGGACTGGGTGTGTGACAGATCCGTGGGCAGACATTTATAGCAGTGTGACACACTATGACCCAGATGAACAAAACAGAACAGTACTACCTGTTCACGGGAGATATATATGTAATAAAAATTGCCCTGGAAGGGGAGGGCAGGATAGCTCTCCCAGGTGCAGTGCATACAGTTCAGCAGGGTGCTGTGCTTGGAGTTTAATGCTCTTTTGTCATGGTCTTGAAAAGCTTGATAATTAAATTTTTTTTTTTTTTGTAATTGTAGATGGACAGATGCCTTTATTTTATTTACTTTTATGTGGTGCTAAAGATTGAACCCAGTGCCTCACACATTAGGCAAGCGCTAGGCAAGCACTCTGCCACTAAGCTATAGCCCCAGCCTGAAAGCTTGATAATTTTATCTGTGAATTTGTATTGATAAGTGAAGTCTGATGGGACAACAGAACGTGAGCTACCAAGGGTTTTGGCCTCTGCTAACATGAGCATCCACCTCTGCAGATGGGTTCTCAGCCTGTTGCTCTTACTCCTTGTAGATAGGAAATACTAATTTAAAAGCAAACAAAAATACCAACATGAAAGGGTTCATAGAATATAAAGAGGAGGCCCACAGCCAAGCCTGAGGAGGGGTGGGCTGTACCTAATCCTGAGGACAAGGGCTACCCATATTCAAATTCTGAAAATGTTCCTTGATGGGAGGCTGAGGTAGGAGGATCTCAAGTTCAAGGACGGCCACAGTAACTTAGTGAGGCCCTAACACAAAATAAAAAAGGGCTGGGAATGTGGCCCCCAGGTTCAATCCCCAGTACCAAAAAAAAAAAAAAAAAGAACAAGAAAATGTCCCCTGACTCTGCTGCTGGGGCCAGTGGGGGCCTGGAGGCTATGTAGGAGGCTGATGTAGTAGCTGGGTGGGGATGATGGGGACCTGGCCAGTGAATGGCAGGGCAATGTATGCAAGCTGAACAGCTTCTAGGTTTGTGGTTGGAAAAGCAGACAGAGTTTGTAGTAGTTTGGATGGTTCAGAGGGAGGAGTAAAGGTATGCTCAGGGTTCTGGAGGATAACAGTGTCATTTGCTTAAGGAAAAAGGGAAGACATAGAAGATAAACGTGATGGATAAAATAGATGTGCATCCCCTAATTGCCGAGGAAGGACCTACTCTAAGGGGAGAGGAAGAAGCTTGTTCCCTGTTTCCACTTCTCGCTTCACACTGGGGTCAGCTGGTTGGGGTTGGGGCTGGGAAAGGGCCATAGGAGGACCATGAAAGCACAACAAACTTTTCTGCCCCCTCCCTGCTGTACACTTCCTGCCCCTTCCTGGTGTGCCCCCTCAACGGTCCTTTCTCTGGTGGTAGCCTCCTCCCTCCAGGTGGCCTGCTGACCCACTGTTTTGTTTTATGATGAGCAAGAACCCAGGGTTTAGCAGAGGGCAGTGGGCCTGCACTTGGGACTCATGCACTTAGCTAGGGGAGCAGGGAAGGAACGAGGGTGCAGTGAGCCCCCTGCCTCAAAGATGAAGAGACAAGGTGTGGAGAGAAGTAGCCCTGGAGGAAGGAGGTAACTCTGCAGAGGGGGTCCTGGCCACCTTGGACACTCACGGCATCCGGGGAGATAGCAGCAGGCACTGGGAGCTCAGTGTCCACACAGTGGTTGGACCGGTGGGCACCAGACACAATGAACCCATGGACAGTGGCTCCCATCAGTGTCCCCACCATCTCCATGGTCATCCCTGGAGACAGAGCATGTGCAAGGTGAGTGAGCCAGTAGCAGTGTCCCAGGGCTTCGTCCTCACCCAACCCCAGAGCTGCACTTACGGTATGCGGTAGCAGAATCCCGCTCCGTGGGACTGGGGGTGAGGAGCATAGTGAGCGCTGTGTAGGGCACCTGGAAGAACTGGGGAGGCCGGCAGAGCTCAAGATGGCCCTCACCATGCAGATCACCAAGTAGAAACCCCACTTTGCCACACAAAGGCCCACAGCCATCCTGTCCCATCCTGGTACCCAGGAATCAATCTGCTATATGCATGCTGGTTACCTAAGCTCAGAGATGGGGGCTCAAAAGCAGGAGAGGGCACCTGACCCAAATAGGGACAGCAGAGCTAATTTTAAGTGTCTAGGCACTGGTGGGGAGGTGAGAGCAGTGTGGTCCCCAAGCCCCCAGTCCCAGTATTGGCCACAGCAGTGAGGTTTCTCAGAACCAGGGCAGGAAGGGAGGACACCTGCTTACCGTGGCCATGGCCTGGAACAGGCAGTAGAAGGTGGTGTACCAGAGGCCACGCAGGCTGGTGAAGGGGGGCAGGAACCACAGGAAGAAGTAGGCCAGGGCGATGAAGGGTGTGCAGCCGAGCATCCTAAAAAGCACACAGTGAAGCACCTGCAGCACCAGGATGGGGACACCCTTCTCAGCCCCTGGGGTTGCCCTGGGCTGGGGCTCTCAGGGTGGGAGCCATGGAGAGGGAAGCAAGGAGTAGAGTGGAGAGTTGGGGACGGGGCATTCACTGCCAGGACTCTGACTGGGGCACGTGGGTGCTCCGTGGTGCCAGTCCCAGTTTAAGAGCACTGGGGCACAAGCCAGTTGCACTTCCTCTGAGACCTTCCCTGGCTTCCAGCCTAGCCTGACCACACTGAGCCACAGGCCAGGTCTGGGATCCTGAAGAGACTTGTCTAGTCCTATGCCCTCTGCTAAGGAACAGTCCCCAAGAATGTCTCTGAACATGGCACACAGGCTGACCCCAGTGTACCAAACAGTCCAGTCTCATCCTCTAACCATTGGCAGGGTGTCCACTAACAAGCTGTGACCAATAGTGACCTCAAAGACAGGGGTAGGTGCTGGATCCTAAAAACCAAAGGGCTGCTCACCAGGGCATAAGTCGTCCAGACCCTCTCCTCCTGCTTCTGTTGATGAAGAATCCAGCTACAGGGTCGGCAGCTGCCCCAGACACCTTCCCTCCAAACAGGACAAGTGACACGTAGGCAGCAGGAATCTGAAATCCATAGGGGAGGGGATTAAGAGCCAAGACCCAATAGAGCCAGAGAAGGTATCCAGGCTTGTCGGTCAGCAAGAAGGGGGACCTGGGAACATGTGGGGCTAAAGCCACAGTGGAAAATGCTGCTCAATGACCTCCTGCCCAAGAAACCAATCCAGAAACTTCCAAAGGTACATCTGTGCTAGTGAAAAGGGTTGGGGAAGGAGCTGATTCCTGTGCATTGGCACTTTGCCATTATTACTGGGTCCAGTCACTTTTGGACAAAACTTGAGGTGCCCTCACCTGGGGTTGGCTCCAAGCAAGAACGGTGCACCTAGGGTGATAGAGGTAGCCATTTTTCCACAATAAAAATGTTTGTTTTTCTGACTATATAAATGATGCAGTCTTTAGAAGAACATTCAAGTAATCCACACATTAAGCAAAATGCATCTGAAATCCCATCATCTTGAGACAATTGCTAAAAGCATTTTGAAAATTATCCTTTCATGCATTTATGTGCACCTGAAGTTATAAATTTTATCTAAATGGGATCATATCTGTGTCATTTTAAAAAATCATGAGTACCTTGTTTTTTTCAAAAAAGTTGTTCTTGTTTACCTTTTATCTTGCACCATTCCACCCTACAGCCAACATGAACAACCCGGTGCATATCCTTCTATAATTTTCTCTGCACTGTTTTAATCACATACTGACACATGTATACTTATGCACACATGCGGTGCACATCTTTGTTTTGCTAAAATGGAGCCATTTTATATACTCTACAACTAGCTTTTCATTTTTGACAGTGAATCATGAAGTCCCTCCATGTCAACTGGTATAGATCTCTCTTTTGAATGGCTGCAAGCACAATAGTCTATTTTGTGGATTAATACCACTTACTTATCTAAGTAAGTGGCTTATATATTGTTGGGCATCCAACAATGTTTCTTATTTTAGCATTATAAACAGACTGCAGTAAACATCCTTGGGAGATTCACTAAATAGCATTTGGCTTTTTGTTAGGTTTGGATCAAAGGACTGTCATCAAGGATGGGAGGGTGAAAGACAGGTGGGGATGAAAGACCAGACACCAAGGGGCCCCAGGCTACTGCCCACACTCACCTGTGCCACATCAAGCAGGAACAGCTGTAGGTAAAAGGCTATGGCGCTGGAAGCTACCTGGTTGGGGATCCCACCAAAGCCATAGCACACCTTCGTACAGAATGAGAGACGACCAGTTCTGCTGACCTGAGGAGACACAGTAAGTCATCCCTACCCAATCTGCAAGTCATAAAACATCTCCCCAAGCCCCCGTGACTTCCATGGGCATCCTTGAGTCCCTATGGTGTTTTTTAAAAAATATCTTATTTTTATGTGGTGCTGAGGATTGAACCCACTGCCTTACACATGCAAGCAAGCATTTTACCACTAAGCCCCAGCCCCCTATGAGGTTTTGATGGTGTTTCTAGCAACCTCTTAGCTCCATCTTGTCCCAAAATGATCCTAATGGGAAGTGAGAGAGAATTTACAATAAAAAAAATTTCTAAACCATGACCTCTAAACCTTTCCAGGGGGAAGTTCTTTCTTATATTTCCCCCCATACTTCCTGCTAGACCCTGCTTTAATTTATTGAATCAGCAATCAGAGTGGACTGTGAGTCAGGAGACTTGGGCTTGAGTCCCTTCTGTGCCACCTACTCTCTGTGTGACATTGAATAAATCACTCTCTCTTTTCAAGTCTTGTCTTCCTCATTGGCCAAATGTAATATAATATCCCTGCCAATTTCACAAGGTTGTTTTGATCAGTGAATGAGGCGGGGGCTTTGAGAACTGAGGACTTCTGCAAGCTAGTTCGTGAACCCCTGAAATCAGCTATACTGAGGGTATTTACAAACATTATAATTCAGAGTCTCTCCCTGCCTTTTCTTTTCCTGGAGAGACAGTTTATCAGTCTATCACTGACACAATGTTTATGAGCAGAGAGTGTATGTATCTATCCCACAAGCCCGGAGCTATCCAGGGAGCTCCTGAGGATTTGACTGCCTATCCACAATCTCCCAGTGGACGCCTGATAAGCATGAGCCTAGTGTGGCTCCTGATTTCCATCCCACAGTCTAGGCCAGCTCCTAACCCTGTTCCTATTGCATTAAATGGCACCAGTCTGCTTAGTGGCTCAGGCCACATCATTGATTCCTTTTTATTTTTTTTTTCCCAGTTCCCCTGTCTAATCTATCATTGAGAGACTCGTAAGTGGCTTCTCTACTTCTGCATCTGTTCCTTACAACTTGACCTCCCATGAAACAGCTGATGTGGGTTTTTATATAGTCCAGTACTGGAAACTGGACCCAGGGGCACTCTAGTATTGAGTCACATCCCCCGCAAGTCACCTTTTAAAAAAATCTTGAGACAGGGTCTCACTAAGTTTCTGAAACTGGCCTCGAACTTACAGTCTTCTTGCCTCAGCCTCTAGAGTTGATAGGATTATAGGTGGGTGCCACTGTGCTTGGCTAGCCAGTGATTTTTAAAAATATAAATCAGATCATGTCTTCTCTGCTTAAAACCCTCCAAGAGCTTGCCATAACATTTTGAATGAAATGCCAAGTCTTCACCATAGCCTGTAGAACCCGCGATGATCAGCCCCCACTTCCCTATCCTCTTTACTTCAAATAGCCCTCCTTCAGCAGGAGCCAGGTCCACCTGACAGTACAAATGACCAAGCCTGTTGCTGCCTCTGGGCCTTTGCACTTCCCATTTCTTTGCCTGTCTTCTGTGTCTTCCAAGAGCTGACTCCCTTTTATTCAGGTCTGAGTTTAAATGTCACCTCCTCAGGCCTGGGGATGTAGCTAAGCTGTAAAGCATGAAGCGCAAAAAAGGAAGAAAAAAAAAACTTGTAAATGTCACCCTTTATATTCCCTGATGACTTGAGTTTCTCAAGTGTACTGTTTGGTATATTTTCTATTTATTCCCTAACAGAATGTAAGCTCTCTGAGAGCACAAACTGTAACTCACCATGGCATCTACAGTACCTAGAACAATGCTTGATATATAGTGAGTGTTCAATATATATTCTTGGAAGCAGTGAATGGCTAGCAACAATTGGACACTATTTCTTGAAAAGATGTTGGGGCTCCTCTTTTCTCCTTTGCTTGGAGATGGGAGAGAATTGGAAGAAGTAGAGCTTGCCTATTTTGGTATCTTGAACACTACAAGCAGGTTCTTCTGAAGGGAAGGTCGTCCCAGATAAAGGTTTATCATACTCTTTGCATACTTCCTATGCATGGGGGAAAACCACACTTGAGGTAGGACATGTTATTTTCTGACATCTGTGTGAACATTATTTCAACTTCCAAAAAAGCTAAACAACAGAATTCAACATGATAGCCTTCCTCTCCTCCATAATAGAAGCCTTGTTCACCCCTAAATGGGCCTAAAAAGTTTTTAGAACATAGAAGGCCCTCAAGAAAAAAAATTGAATTATGGTTAAGCCGGGTGCGATGGTGCACACTTGTAAGCCCAGCTACTTGGAGGCTGAGGCAGAAGGATCACAAGTCCGAGGTCAGCCAGGGCAACTTAACAAGACCCTGTCTCAAAAAATAAAAAGGACTGGGGATGTAGCTCAGTGATAGAGCACCCCTATGTTTAATCCTCAGTGTGCGTAGGTGGCTGGGGTGGGGGGAGGCAAAAAATTCCAACTGACACTAAAGATACAATCTTGGAGTCTTAGGAAGACAGTTTTACCAACTTAAATCATTAGCCCTTCACAGTCCACAGAGTTTTATAATTAGGCAAACTAGCTGTGTGAACTTGCTGAGCTGTTGTGTCCTCACACTAATATATGGACACATAAGGTTGTTAGGAGGATGCTGGCACTTCATTGACAGCAGTTGTTTCCCCCTTTTGCCCTTAATCTCAATCCAAATTTCTAAATTTCTCTAGAAAATGAGAATATTCAGCCCTCTCATTCACTTTTTTTTTTTTTTTAATTAAAGAGAAGGGTTCTGCTATGTTGCCCAGGTTGGTTCTGAACTCCTGGAATCAAGTGATCCTCCTGCTTCAGCCTCCCCAGTAACTGGGACTACATGTGTGCCACCAAGCCCTGCTCTCACTTCTTTGTTGGAGGCCATAATTCCTGGCCCTGAAAGTAGGGAAGATAGGGAACTGAGATGGTGGTCAAATGAAGCCACAGAATACCTTGACTATGGGGCTGGGAGCACATGTTGCATTCAATATCACACCATTTGGAGGTTCCTAACCTCTTGGGCCCTCAATCGCACCCCAAGAGCCGACTAGGAGGTCATCTATGGGGCCAGTCTCCCTAAGGAGAGCCTAGTGCCTGGACAACTCCAGGGTTTGAGGCAGAGACTGAGGCCACAGGATCTGTCTGGACTCTGGGAAAGGGAGGCAGCCCTCTCACACATAGCTCAAAGGCCCTCCCTGCCCAGGAGACTTGTAGCGTGTGGAGAAGAGCCATGGCCTGGCAATAAGACCAGAGACCTGCCCTGGTCCTGCTGAACTGTTTGAAAGAATCCAGCAAGTTATTTCACTTAGATCATTTCCCATCCTATTCTCTTTGGGACACCTAATGTCCTCAGCCTCCCTGCTAGGTCAACCTGAAGAAGGGACTGCGAATGGGCATGCACAGCCTTCGCTCTCAGCCCGGTCCAGCCCGCTCCCTCTTGCCCTGCTTGGCGCTCACCGAGCCCATCTCCACCGTTTGCTCCCCGGGCTGGGACAGCGGCGCCTCTGCAGCCTGGGCAGATGGGGATCCAGGGGGCGCTGCCATCGTGCAGCAGCTCCAACTGCGGTGGTAGTCCTGGATGTCATCATCGGCGGGAGTGGTGGCCTCGGCCCAGTGGGCGCGGCCGGGGCGGGGAGAGCTGGTTGTGTGCGCCCTCAGAGACGCAGCTGCCCCAAGAGGCAGCACGCAGGGAAAGCCAGAAACCCCAGAATTCGTGGTTTCATTTCTCCCAGAGGAAACACAACGGACCAAATTCACCAGGCTAAGGCCTCGTAAGTCCTTCGGGACCATGTTGTGGATCCTCAAAGGAGTGAGCACTCTGCAGAGGGAAACCCTTCAGCTGAATCCCCAGGGGTGAAAGCCAGCATATAATAATAGTTTATTTTTTAAATGAAGCAATAAGCCATCGCAGGGGAGCATGCTTGTAATACCAGTTAAAAGCAAGCCTGGGTTGAAGCTCAGCGCTAGAGTGCCCCTGGGTTCAGTCCCCAGTGTCACAATAAACAAACAAGCAGCAACAGAATCGACTTGCTCAGAGTAAGATTATGACTGAATAGGTTTTCAACCTGATTTGACAGTGGATGCCTGAAATGCACATTTTCCAGTCTCTCATGCAATGATCATTATGTCCCTGTAACCAAGTCTGGGCCAGAGAACCAAAGCAGAATGATGTGTACAACATCCCTGAAAGGGCCTTAACACAGAAGGGGCTACACAATGTGCAAAAACTGAAAATGTACCCCAGAACTTAATACGAGGTTACAATGATGAAACTCTTAGAAAATAGGAGCAAATCTTCACCATATTAGGGTAAACAACCGTTTCTTAGAATACCACAAGCACAAGCTGAATTATATCAAAATGAAAAATGTGCTGCAAATAATTCCAATGAATGAAAAGAATGGGAGAAAATACTTGCAAATTTTCATGGATTTGTACTGAGATATATACATAGCTCATAACATTAGGAAAGCAATCCAATTTAAAAACATACAAATAGACAATAAGCACATAAAAAGATGCTCATATCATTAGGGAAATAAAAAAAAAGAAGCTACACTAAGGCTTTTATAATAAAAAAGACAGACAACAAGTACTGGGGAGAATATAGAATAACTAGAATCTTCAAACACTGCTGGTGGGAAGGTAAACAGTGAAGCCCTTGGAAAAGTCTGGCAGTTCCTCAAAATGTTAAGCCGAGTTTTTATCAATTCCACTCCTCTGTATAACCCCTAGAGAAATGAAACATGTTCACATAAAAACTAGAACACAAATGTTAATTAGCAGCAATACACACACACCCCTCTGATACATACATAGATATAGATGTAGACACACATATGCAACATGTAAAATAAATTTGCCCCAAACTGGAAATAACTCCAAATGACCTCAGGTTATGAGTAGATACATAAAATATGGTATATAAATATAATGGATTATTTCTGGGCAATAACAAGGAATGAAGGGTTGATACCTGCTACACCAAAGTGAATCTTGAACACATTATACTAAGTGAAAAAAAAGCCAGTCAAAAAAGACCAGCTATTGTGATTCCCTTTGAAATGTCTAGAATAGACAAACACATAGAATGTAGATTTGTCGTTGCCTAGGACTGGGAGCAGGGAGTAGCTATGAGGTTTCTTTTGGAGAGGATAAACATTTCCTGAAATTAGATTGAGGCGATGGTTTGTACAATGTTGCAATATGCTATACTAAAAACCAATGATCCCACACTTTAAATGGGTGAACTGCATGGTATGTGATTTATAGCTAAATAAAATTATTTATATTTTTGTGGTTTTAGGGATTGAACCCTGGGGTGCTCTACCACTGAACTATATCCCCAGCCCTTTTTATTGAGACAGTTGCTGAGGCTGGCCTGGAACTTGTGAGGAGTTACTGAGATTACAGGTGTGTACCACCATGCCTGGCCAGTAGTCAACTTGTGCTGAGATTACAAATGAAAGATATGGGAGTCTGATAATTTTATGAAGTTATCCTATCACCCTGACCTACTTCTCTCTGGAATTTTGCATGGGAAATAAATTTTATTTTATAAGCAACTATTTTGGATTTTCTTTCATAGCTAAACCTAATAAAGAATGCATTACCTTATCTAGAGCAAGTCATTTTTTGTGCCTCAGTTTTTTAATCTAAAAAAATAATTTGTTTGCTTCATTGAAGTGGTGCACACCTGTAATCGCAGCTACTTGGGAGGTTGAGGCAGGATGTTCTCAAGTTCAAGGTCAGCCTCAGCAATTTAGGGAAGCCCTAGCAACTCAGTGAGACCCTGTCTCAAAATGAAAACTAAAAGGATGTAGCTCGGTGGTAAAGCACCCTTGGGTTTGACACCCAGAACAACAACAACAAAAAAAAAAGGTGAAATTTTTAATCCCTTGGAAATTAGACATTAACTAAAAATGAAGTTTCTTGAATAATCTCCTCACCCCACCTTTGGTAGCGAGGACTGAACCAAAGCATGCTTTACCACTGAGCTAAATTGCCAGTTCTTCAGGCAGAGACTTGCTAAGTTGCTGAGGGTCTTGCTGCACTGCTAAGGAATCACTTGCTTGTGATCCTCCTGCCTCGCTGCTGGGATTACAGGTGTGTGCCACTGTACCTGGTTGACTAATCTACTTTTAGATACATAATTTTTATTATGCAGTTTTTGCATGTTTGGGAAGACTTTATTCCCAGTACTTGTACTATTTGTGTGTACTAACACAATTTAAAAAAAAAAAAACATTAAAAATTTTTTTTTTAGTTGTAAATACCTTTGTTTATTTTTGTGTGGTGCTAGGATCGAACCCAGTGCCTCACGCATGCTCAGCAAGCGCTCTACCACTGAGCCACAACCCCAGCCTGTACTAACACAATTTTGAAAGAAAGCAGGTTGGGCTGGGGATGTGGCTCAAGCGGTAACGCGCTCGCCTGGCATGCGTGCGGCCCAGGTTCGATCCTCAGCACCACATACAAACAAAGATGTTGTGTCCGCCGAGAACTAAAAAATAAATATTAAAAAAATTCTCTCTCTCTCTCTCTCCTCTCTCTCTCTCTCCCACTCTTTCTTAAAAAAAAAAAAAAAAAAAGAAAGAAAGCAGGTTAAAATCAATTTTTACTGCACAGAAACATAATCTATTTTTTGAAGTTCTGAGGTTTGAACCCAGGTCCTTGTTCATCCTTGACAAGTGCTCTGCCATTGAGCTATATCCCTAGCCTGTGCACAGAAATATAATTAGAAGGCATTTTTTCCTAACGGCTGTTATTCTACTTGAAGTGATGGTATACTTCTGTAATGCAATTTTTAATTAAAAAGACAAATTAGATTTCAAGAGAGAAAATAGCCAAATAACCAAGGCAACTGCCTCTTAATTAAAACAAAAGGAAGAACTGACACACTGTGTTCAGTTAGCTTTCTGTTACTGTAACAAATACGTGAGATAAATCAACAGAGAGGAAAGGTTTGGGGAGGTTTCAGTTCATGGTCAGTTGATGGTTGCTTTTGGGTCCAGTGGTGAAGCAGTGCGCCTGAGTGGGAGCGTGTGGTGGAAGAGGCTGCTCGCCTCACAGCAGCCAGGAAGTAAAGAGAGAAATGGAAGGGACTCGGGGTACCAATATCCCCTTCAAGGGCATGTCTCAGTGACCCAAGTTCCTCCCAGTAGGCCCCACCTCCTGAGGGTTCCACCACCTCCTAATAGCACTGGAGGCTTCAGACCAAGCCTTCAACACATAGAATATTCAACCATAGCACATCTGAAAGGATTCACACCAGAACGGAATCAGTGGTTTTCTCTGATCGGTGGAATAAGATCAGGAAATTTAAAGACCACTTTAGCATATCTGCATTTTATAATTTTCTATAATGAACACAAATTACCTGTGCAAAAAACATGTAAAACAAATGACAAAGAGCCAAAAATTAATCTATGGAATAAGCCATTCTATTTGATGATTTAGTGTAATGAGCAATTTTTTTTTTTTTTTTTTTTACCTAGTTTCTACTTTGGAAGAGAAAGAATAAAGGAGAAACTCCTACTAACAAGCCTTCATGCTAGTTCAATTCAGGATACAAGATGATTTAAAGTAATGCAACCATTAAGTTGGTACTAAAAATACCACATTTTTACATTTCTGGGTATTAAATCAAAGCAATGTTGGTTAAAGCAAAGGCACCTAATATTTTGTTGATTCTCAAAAGTAAATGACTCAAACAAAAATGACAAATGCACCCATGTGTAGCTATTTTATAACAAATGTAAAGTACTTCATAGATCCTTTTAACGGAGAGCATTTCATTCCTAAGAGAACAGTTCTTTAACCATTAGCAAAATATTGCATTCAAAATACTTTAAGGCACTGAAATAAATTGATACACCCATATTATCAATACACTGAAACATCATGAAAAGTACATAAAATAAGTTTTAACTTCAATAATGCATAGTCATTTAACTACTCAATCAAAAATTTTAAAATGAGAATATGCTTCTATATATTAGCCCTAATCATTTTCAAGAAATTGATGACGGCTTTGAAACAACTGTTTAGATATTTGCTTATTTTCAAGTTTTCCTTCTCTTGGCAAATCCAGTTTGTTTTCCAACCAACCTGCATTACGTATTCTGTGCATTTAATAATTTTACAACATACAAACTTTCAAGTAAAATGCTTTATCAGATGATTAACTTATCACAAAACGTTTGAGATTATTATTCACATTAACACAAGTTTTCACAGTTAAAAAAATGAAAGTTATTGCTGATGATAAGTCTTTATAGGCACCTCTTATTGGGGCAAACGCTATATGTATACATAAGAAAGTTCCATTTTATCTCCTGGTTAATGAATTATAAACTGGAAACTCCACAAAGGGGGGTGGTGGTTCTGTAGGTATCTAACACTCTTTTTTTTTTGGTACCAGATATTGAACCCAGAAGTATTTAACCACTGAGACACACCCACAGCCGTTTTAAATATTTTGTTTAGAGACAGGGTCTCACTAAGTTGCTTAGGGCCTTACTAAGTTGCTGAGGCTGGTTTTAAACTTGTGATCCTCCTGCCTCAGCCTCCTGAGCTGCTGGGATAACAGGTATACGCCACTGCCCCCAGTGATATATATATTTAACAATCTCATCCTAAGAAAGGCTGCTTGTACAAATACTTGGAGAATCGTCTATTCATTTTAATTATGCAAATAAAAATACTTCATGATAGGCCTATATGAAACATCTTACAGATTCCCGAACATATATGAACAATCATAAATTATTTCCCATATTTGAAAGAGAAGTTCATTGATTTTTATCTTTTTTTTTTGTAAGAATGTCATTATTTTTGTCTTATTAGAGAGGACTTTTAACACTGTTGTATGTTACTGACAGTAAACATTTAGTTTGTATTACCTGCCCATTTCCTAGGGTAAAGGACAAAGGGGAAAAGGATCTCCTTTCTTCCTCTTTTTCCAATAAAAAGACCTCTACCACATGGACAGCTGGGAACTACGAAAGGAAGCGTCCTTAAAATAGACCACAAACTAGACAGAGAAGCCATGCCATCTAGTTATGTAAGTAGTTCTCTTTTGTTATTCCTGACCCTTTAGGAAAAAATCTCATTCAAATGATCCAGCCCTGTCTCATTTGAGTTACAGGAGACAAAGCACAGGATTATGTCATGATTACTTCAGGTTAAAGGAGGGAGGGCTCTCTGTGAGAGCAAACTGTGGGGATAGAGATACAGCAGCTCTCTTTGGGAGTCTTCCACCGTCCATGGTGACATATGCTGGCTTTATTTTCTTAGGATAGAAGCTTAGTGCAGGATTTTCTGAGGATGGTACAGCCACCACATCCCTCAGCATCACTCAAGATTTCAACTGCAGTGATTTGGAACCTACCCCAGAGAAAATGCATCATTATGTTTGTGGTAGGTGGCAGGAATGGGCATTTTTCTTTTTTTGGTACCAGGGATTAAACTCAGGGTCACTCTACCACTGAGCCACATCCCCAGCCCTTTTTTGTAATTAACTTAGAGATAGGGTTTCACTGAGTTGCTTAGTGCCTTGATAAGGTGCTGAGGCTGGCTTTGAACTTGTAATCCTCCTGCCTCAGCCTCTGAAGCTGCTGGGATAGGAATGGGCATTTTTGAAAAGCCAAATGATTCTTTTTTTTAAATATATTTATTTTTTAGTTTTTTGGCGGACACTACATCTTTGTTCACAACATCTTTGTTTGTATGTGGTGCTTAGGATAGAACCCGGGCCGCACGCATGCCAGGCGAGCGCGCTACCGCTTGAGCCACATCCCCAGCCCCTACCAAATGATTCTTACACTAAGGCTTGAGTATTATTGTAAACTATACATTGCTTTAAAGGACTGAATCTTAGAGGATCACTGGGGGTTCCTGAGAGCCATTCGGGGGGTTATGCTGTCAAAACTCTTTTCTTAGTAATAATAAGGTGTTATATGCTTCACCTCTCATGAATGTACAGTGGTATCTTCCAGAGGTTACATGGTGTGTGCTATTACAGCAGTGAACGAAGAAGCAAAGAGGACAAGCTATCTGGGGTTGGGGATATAGCTCAACAGAGGAGAGCTTGCCTAGCATGTGCCAGGCCTGGGCCTGATCTCTAACAGCAGGTCAAAAACACAAAACAAAACAAAAACTCCTCACAACAAAAGAGAATCCATCATTAAGTCAGACAGAAAGGATATTTGCAGAAAAAGAAAATGCCACTTTCTCACTTAAATCTTTTTATGTTTTGGAAGTTATTATTATCATTATTTACTTTTTATTTTTTAATTTTTTATGACTTTATTTATTTTTATGTGGTGCTGAGGATCAAACCCAGGGCCTTGCTCATGTGAGGCGAGCACTCTACTGCTGAGTCATAACCCCAGCCCATACTTTTTAGAGACAATCATACTGTTCCCCAGACTGGACTTGAACTCTTGCTTGAGCAAATCTCCTGCCTCAGCCTCCCTGTGTGGCTGGGACTACAGGCACATGCTTCAAAGTCATTATTTTTAAGTAAATAAATTTGGTAGGGATTGAACTCAGGGGCACTCGACTACTGAACCACACCCTCAGCCCTATTTTGTATTTTATTTAGAGATAGGCTATCACTGAGTTGCTTAGCACCTAGATAAGTTGCTGAGGCTGGTTTTGAACTTGCAATCTTCCTGCCTCGACCTCCTGAGTTGCTGGGATTATAGGCCTGTGCCACCATGCTGAACCAAATAAATATTTTAAAACTAAATTTTTGGAGCCAGTGCTGTAGTACATGATAGTAATCATGCCTACTGGGGAAGCTGAGGCACGAGGTTCCAGAGTTCAAGAAGTACCTGGGGCAACAGAGCCAAATCCTGTCACAAAAATAAACAAATAAGTAAATTAAAAAACTTTGAATTTTTAGTATTCTGTTGATATATATAACCCACATAAAACAAAAGAAAAGGTCTTGAGACCAAAAGCCTTACAGCATCCATCCAGCACTCTATGAACATTAGTGTTGATATAGGCCACTTAATCCGCAGCACATTCAACATATACTCTGATATGATTCATTTGCAAAAAAGCTTCCTATGCTTACTTCTAAGCCAGGGGTTTTAATCTGATTGAAATTTTGAAGTTTAACTGGTTTTAGTTAAAAGCCTAAGATGTTTTGGTGACATTAGAATGTAATAAATAATCTTTTAATGTATACATAAGGGATATATGAAATAGAAAAACTGACTTCACGTGATACATTAAATTCCTACCCAGGCACAGTGGCACATACCTGATATCCCAGAGACTTAGAAGGATGAAGCAGGAGGATTGCAAGAGGCCAGCCTCAGAAACTTAGCAAGATACTGTCTTAAAAATAAAAAGGGCTGGGAATGTAGTTAGTGTTACAAAGCCCCGGGTTTGATCCCAGCACCAAAAACCAAACCAAAACAAAACACCACCCCGCTAAAACAAATAAAAAACCATCCATCTATCCATTCCCAATTAAATAAAAGATAGAGGGCACTGAGGATGTGGCTCAGTAGAGCACTTCCCTAGCATTTGGACACACTATGTTTGATCCCGAGCACTGCAAAAAAAAAAAGAAAGATAAGTAAAAATAAAAAATTATACTATTAGAAGTACAGAAATGTGTGGGTATGTTAATATTGACGTTATATTAAGACACTCACTTTTATTCCTAAATAAAAATATAACTTAGATATTGTTGCCAAATTAATCTTCCTACACTTTCGATTATATCCCAGTTATAAAATAATTACACTGATGCCTTTAACCTGCCATGTATAATTTTTAAACATATTGCTATTTAAAAACTCTTGTGATAGCTAACATTTAAAATAAATACCTGCTGTTTGGAAATGTTTCAGTGATTAAAGCAGTGAATATTTTTATTTGTTTATACGATATTAATATTCTAAATGATATAGCTACTTAACATACTGTATGTTATGAATTGTTTTTTAAAAAATATTTTTAGTTGTAGACAGACACAATACCTTTATTTTATTTATTTATTTTTAGGTGGTGCTGAGGATCAAACCCAGTGCCTCACACGTGTTAGGCAAGTGCTCTGCCACTGAGCTACAACCTCAGCCCTGATGAACTGGTTTTTGAAAGTAAGTATATTTTTCTTATTGAGTAGCCTTCTGGGAAAAGTACATTAAATATAGCTTCTAGTCATGTTACTTCCTTAACTTAAAATTATTCAAAACTCTTTTCCTCAGAAGAGGGTTAAATAGCACTCACACCAAAAGTCACGTGAATCTGATGTGTCCTCTCTCCCATTTTTGCATGTCCACTTACAACCGTCATTTCTCTGCAAAATTTCTACTTAGTCTCTTAAAAATCAGTTCTATGAAAATTCTCTGAGAGGTTCGACAGTTTTTTTGAGTCTCTGAATAATCACAGCATTCTGTAAATCTGCTTCTTCCACTGTGAGTGTCTCATCTAGCAATTTGAGGAAAGGAAGAGCCGTTGCCAGGGAAAAGGGAGGACTTCTTTGAGATCCTTGGTATTTTTCAATGAAGTCTTTGATGTGGCTTACCCTGTAAAACAGTACAAATGAAAACTTGAAATTAGCTAAATCTAAGGCAATAACAACTTGTGAAGCTCCTGGGTATGGAAAATATAGAATAATCAAAATATTATATGATATCAGTGATCATCATTTGGGTTTTTTTTTTTTTTTTTGCAGTGCTGGGTATGGAACCCAGGGTCCTGCACATGCTAGGGAAGGAAAAGATCTACTACTGAGCTACATATCTAGCCTTGGACTATCCTTTTAAAGGTTGACCCTATATATCTGAAGGTAGGAAGGAATTACTATTAGTTTTCTTAGGTATGACAAGGGTATTATGGCTACATTTGAAAAAAAAAATCTGGGGCTGGGGATGTGGCTCAAGCAGTAGCGCGCTCGCCTGGCATGCGTGCGGCCCGGGTTCGATCCTCAGCACCACATACAAACAAAGATGTTGTGTCCGCCGAAAAACTAAAAAATAAATATTAAAAAATTCTCTCTCTCTAAAAAATAAATAAATAAATAAATAAAAATAAGTTCAGAGCCGGCCTCATCAACTTAGCAAGAACCTGTTTCAAAAAATAAAACAGGTTGGGGATGTGGCTCAGTGGTTAAATGCCCCTGGGTTCAATCCCTGTCACCAAAAAAGGAAAAGGAAAACTATATATGCATTTTTTCTCTCTTTTTTTTTTTTTTTGCAGTGCTGCGAATCAGAGTCTTACACATGCTAAGCACATGTCCAACTAAGAGCTACACACTCCCAGCCCCTCTACTTTTAATTAAGATGAGAACCCCCCCCCTTTTTGTGGTATTCAGGTAGGGGTGCTTTAGCACTGAGCTACACCCCAGATCTTTTTATTTTTTATTTTGAGGCAAGGTCCCACTTAGCTGCCCATGTTGGCCAGAACTTGCGATCCTTCTGCCTCAGCCTCCTGAGTCGCTGGAATTATAGGCCTGTGCCACCACATCCAGCCTAGGGTTGATCTTGAACTAGCAATCCTCCTGTCTCTGCCTCAGGAAACTTCTGTTAAGAGAGATAAGACTAAATAAGAATTACTTGATCTAATAATACTGGTTATCTTTAAGTGGTGAAATTTATATTGACTTTAATTTCTTTCAATACTTTTCTTATTTGCATTCTTTTACTACAATTAACAGGAAAATATATACATAATGCTTATTGTTTTCTTTCTTTCTTTTTTTGAGATGGGATCCACTATGCTTCCCAGGCTACTCTTAAATTCCTGGGCTCAAGTGATCCTCTGTCTTGGCCTCCAGAGTAGCTGGGACTTTAGGTATATGCTACCATTCCTGGTTTGCAAATGACGCTTATGACTGATTTTAAAACACATTAAAAATAATGCCTTTAAAACAGGAAACTAATCAAATGACCAGCATGAAAATTCTTTTTTTTTTTTTAGAGAGAGAGAGAATTTTTTTTAATATTTATTTTTTAGTTTTTGGTGGACACAACATCTTTGTTTGTATGTGGTGCTGAGGATCGAACCCAGGCCGCACGCATGCCAGGCGAGCGCGCTACCGCTTGAGCCACATCTCCAGCCCATGAAAATTCTTAAAACAAATTAAAAGTATTTCATTAATGTCCAACAGTTTCCTTTGTCTTGACATATTAAATTTGGAAGACTATTCATTAAAATCCTTCATTAGGGGGCTGGGATTGTGGCTCAGTGGTAGAGTGCTCGCCTAGCACGTGCAAGGCCCTGGGATTGATCCTCAATACCACATAAAAATAAGTAAATAAAATAAAAGTACTGTGTCCAACTGCAAAAAACAACAACAACAACAAAAACCCTTCATTAGTTCTTAAAAATTACTGTTGACTAATCTTAAATGAAATGAAATTTAAATTTGGAAAAAAAAAAATCAGGCAAATACTGACCCGGAAGACTCACCTATGAGATGTATTGAATTTCTGGATAATCCTTTTCCCATTGGCTAACCAGATCTGTATATTAGTGATGGGCTCCAAGTTGTTCAGTGAAACAGTAGACAAATTATTTTTATTTTCAACTTCAATACTCTTTGCTTTAGAAACAATTTTTGGTGTGGCACTAAGAAAATCCAGACAACAAAGTCAGACACAAGTTTTTCATTACTATAAAAACTTTACTTTTAGAAAGACTTTAACTATAAGTCATTAACTATTTCCCTAATAACAACATAAACATATACTAATTATGACCATAATATATAATGATTCTAAGAATCTAATGAAATTATGAATATTTAATTAATATGTAAGCTTAAAGAGTGCTATATAAATAAACTGCTGCTAGTATTATTTGAATAGTGCTTTACAGTATAGGTAATTTTACAGGGTTGATGTATCTATAGACTTTAGCTTTACCTACTGCCTAGGATAAATTTGTAAAAGAAATTACAAGTTCTCTATAGATATAGTTCTTGGGTTATAAAGGAAAAGGAAATAGAGTATTTTGAAAGACACATCTAGATATTTTTCTATGTATGAATGAATATGTATGCACTTTACCATTTTTGTTTTGTTTGGTAGGACTGACCCCAGGGGTGCTTTACCTGTAAGCTACATTTCCAGCCCTTTTTATTTTTTATTCTGAGATACATTCACTAACTTGCTGGGGCTGGCTTTGAACTCACGATCCTCTTTACTCAGCCTCCCAAACTGCTGGGATTATAGGCGTGAGCCAGCGCGCCCAGAGTGCATTTTACCAACCTTGATAATTAAAATATGAGAATTCACAAAAACCAAAGTGATCCCATATTTAACTGTAGTAATTCCATCATAAGGCATAGTTAGATATGATAAAAACGGAAAACTGAAATAATTAAAGGCTCTGACATCAATATTAACGTTATCAGACTTTTTCTTTTTTCTTTTTTTGGGCAGCACTATGGATTGAACACAGGTGCACTCCACTACTAAGTTATATCCCCAACCCTTTTTATTGTGAGACAGGGTCTTGCTAAATTGCCCAAGCTGCCCTTGAACTTCTGATTCCCTTGCCTTAGTCTCCTGAGTAGCTGGGATTATAGGTGAGTGCTATTGTGCCTAGCTTTCTTTTCTTTAAATTTTCTTTTTCAGTACTGGGGAAAAAATAGAACTGTAATATTGAAAAGTTAGCATAGGCACTCTGTAGCACTAATGGCAAAGCTTGGTGGTAAAAGGGAGAGTAAATGATTTATACAATTTTGTCCTAAATAGGCCAGGCTCTTTTGACCTGATAAAACTAGGAAAAGTCTCTGTGATTAGTGCCAGCCTATTTTAATATCACTAAAGTAAATGTGACTTAGGAATCTCCATAAAAACTCACATAAAAAACTCATTTCTAGTAGGAGAAATGGTAATCTATATACATGTGTCTACATGTGTAAAATAATGTCAAAATCAATATTAGTCAAGCCTCTGCTTATGGCAAAGGCAGATAATAGACACACTTACCTTCCCAGTCTGTGACCCTGTCCTGAGAAGGGTTGGAACACAGGCTTTGTAGACACACAAAGTTCACTTTTCTTATCTTCAACTTTAACATCCACCTCTTCTTTATCAAAAATTCCTTGTAATTCTGAAGGTAACTCCCTTGGAAGGCAAGAAAACAAAATGATAAAGCTTCCAGTGCCTTTTCTTTCTCTGAAAAACATTCTGTTTTTATGCCAAAATATTTTATGTAAAAGAATTGGACAGGGCTGGGGTTGTGGCTCAGCGATACAACGCTCTCCTAGCAAGCATGTGAGAGGCCCTGGGTTCGATCCTCAGCACCACATAAAAATAAATAAATAAAATAAAATAAAGGTATTGTGTCCAACTACAACTAAAAAATAAATATTGGACAATATGTATAACAAAGAAGCATAATATATTCTCTATAATTAAATAACTAAATGTATTTAAGTAACAGGACTTGAACTAAAGTCTGGGCTTTGTCTAACATACCAAATGCCTCTATCTTTTTATGTTGTGCTGAGGGTTGAACTCAGTGTCTCATACATGCTAGGCGAGCGCTCTACTGCTGAGCCACAACCCCAGCCCCCCCAAATGCCTCTTTTGAACCACATAAGCTATAGGACAGCAGGGACGACATCTGTTTTATTCATAAATATATTCCGATCCCAGGAACAATGTCTGGTAAAAAAACACAAATATCTTTTTTGATGTTAACAATGTTGTGGCACATATTTAATATATAAGCAATTAATTTCCCTGAGGAGGTTTCCACAAAGGAAAAACTTTAAATAACTGATTTTTTTCTGACAAATAACATAAATTCACTTAATATATTTTACTTGTGTACATTTATTTATTTATTTGGGTACTGGGGATTTAACCCAGGGGTGCTTGGCTCCTGAGCCACACTCCCCGTCCTTTCTTAAATTTTGAGATAGGGCCTCACTGAGTTGCTGAGGCTGGTCTCAAACTTGTGATCCTCCTGCCTTAGCCTCCTAAATTGCTGGGATTAAGGAGTGTGCCAGCCCACCAGGCTCTTGTGTACTTTTATGAAATATACTTTCACACATAGATAAAAGTTTTAAATTTTTTATTGAATTTTTTCTAAAAATATGTGAATTAAAAATGTAAATGTGTAAAATTAAGATGTGAATGTCTGTCAGTTTGCAAACCTTGGTATAGACTCTCCTAGATTTTCTCTATATTTATTATTCCATATAATTTAATTGTTTTTCCATTTGGGTTGAACATCAACTCAACGAATGGGAGAAGATATTTGTAATCATGTATCTAATAAGGGAATTGAATCTAGAATATATAAAGAACTCTTCCAGGGCTGAGATGTAGCTTAAAAGGCCCTGGGTTTGATGCCCAGCAACACACAGACATATGGAGAATGCTGGCAACTCAGTAAAAAGGCAAATAATCCAGTTTTAAAATAGGCAAAGAAAAAAAAAATGACAGAATTTGACCAAGCATTTTTCCAATGAAGATATGCAGCCAATAAACACATGAAAGCCATTCAATATTACTGATCAAATAATGGGAAATGCAAATCAAAACTGGAATGACATACCACTCTACATCCACTAGGATGGCTATAATTTTAAAAAGCAGACACTGACAAAGGTTAGTGGGGATATGGAAAAACTGCCCTTATACAGTGCTGTTAAATGGGGCAGCCACTTTGGAATCCAGCTTGGAAGTTTTTTGTTAAGTTAAACATAGAATTAACATTTCCAAGGAGAGACAGTGGAGTGAATCTGACAGAACTTTCCCATATACATATATGAATATACCACAGTGAATCTCACATTGTGTACATCCACAAGAAACTAATTAAAAAAAAAAACCAAAAAACAACTATGGGTAAATGGCAGAAAGATCAGAAGAGGAAAGGGAGGAGGAGGTGGGGGGAGGGAGATATATTCCATGCTTTTATAATTATGTTAAGATGAATTCGACTGTCATGTATAACCAAAAAGAACCAATAAAATGATAGAGTGCCTGCCAAGAATTCATGAAACCAGACACAAAAGGCCACACACCATGTGATTCCATTTATATGCAATATCTAGAATATGAAAATCCATAGGGATGAAAAGCAGATAACTGGTTATGAAGGGCTATAGGGAAGGGGAAATGGAGAGTGACTTCTAGTATCAAGTTTTTTTTTGTGATAATGAACATATTCTAAGTGATAACTGTTGCACAACTCTGTAAATATATTAAAAATACTGAATTATATACTTTAAAGGTATGAATTATGGTAACCTCTCAACAAAGCTGTTATTTAAAAATACTTAAATTCTAGAATAGTCAAAGGTGTTTTTATTTATTTGTTATTATGTTTTACTATTTTGCAATACTGGGGGTTAAACCTAGGGGTGTTCTACCACTGAGCTAACATCCCCACCTCATTTTATTTTGAGTAGGGTTGCCCAGGCTGGCCTTGAACTTGCAATCCTCCTGCCTCAGCCTTCCAACTAGCTAGTATTACAGGTCCAGGTCTGTGCATCTGCATCCAGCTCAAATACATATAAAAATAAACAGAAAAAATATTGTGTCCATCTACAACTAAAAAAAATTTTTTAAAATCCCTTTTGAATGTTAACAATGTTATGGCACATACTTAATATATAAGCAATTAATTTCCCTGGGGAGGTTTTCACAAAGGACAAATTATAAATAAGGGTCATTGTTGTGATAAAATAATATGAAGGTATATTAAAATATTTCACAACGATGTTCAGAAAATAAACATGCATATTATGTATAAATCTATACACGAAAATGACAACGAAATTCAACAAAAATGTTAACAGAGTTACTTCTGGGTTGTTAAATAACACTTAGAATCACAAATACATTATAAACTTCAATTTCATAGACTCTAAAGACAACTAAACATAAGTATCAAATAACAAATAAGAGGTGGTATTAAGAAATATTTAGCAAAGTTTAAGATTTTGGTTGATGAGAATTTAAGCCTCTAAATTTTTTAAAAATTATAGTGTGACTTTCTTAAGAAAACTTGTCTTATAAAAAATGCTAATTCACAAAAGTATCTGTGAATGTATAGTGGTGTATGATCAACATTAAAAAGGATTCTTCCATAGAATCCTTTAATGTTGCCTAAAATATCCTTCTATTTACAAAGACTGCTTACCCTTTTTTGATAGAGTTCAGAAACTGCTGACTTGCACCATCAGAATAACTTCTAAAATCATCATTGACTGTGAATCCATTTTTCCATAATTTTATACTTACATCTACCTGCAAAGCAGTAAGAAGAAAAATGTATTGTTAGTAAAATGTAATAGTAATTTAAAAGTTCTTTGAAAACTTTTATCATTATACATTTTATATATTAAGAACTCCAAATGTAAAATATAAAAAATTATGTCTATACATAATTCATATGATATGAATTATGTTTCATAATGAAGATAATTTAAAATAAATGCTTTTAGACTGCTTTACTACTGAGCTACATCCCCAGCCCTTTTATAATTTTTTTTTTTAAATTTTGTGACAGGGTTTCATTAACTTGCTTACAGCCACTCTAAGTTGGCTGCTGGAATTATAGGTGTGCACCATCATGCCCATCTTTTAAAAAATTTTATGGGATTTTTTTTTTTTGGTACTGAGGATTAACCCAGGGGTGCTAAACCACTGAGCCACGTCCCAAGCTCTTTCTGAGACAGGGTCTCGTTAAGTTGCTGAGGTCCATGCTAAATTGCTGAGACTGGTATTGAATTTGCAATTCTCCTGGCTTAGCCTCCCAAGTCGCTGGGATTACAGGCATGCACCACTGTATCTCATTTTCTAATTGTACTCTTAAAGAGACAAAAAGCAACGACCAATTAATCACTATTCCCTCAAATATAAAATACTATTGTTAGACTATTTTTTATCAATAGTTCATCTGTTAGTGTTTTCTGCTTATAAGAACAATATTTATTTACTCATTTAGTCAAAGAAGCAAGGTAAGTCACTACAGAAATATAGAAAGGTTTAGAAATACAGCAGAATGCATGGATGCTTCAGGCTGAACACAAGACTGAAAAACTAGACAATATTAAAAGAAGACCAACCTCATTTACATTTATTCAATTTATTATACATTCAATATATGTTTAATGAGTGCGTAATATGTAACAAACACTCATTAAGGTGCTGGGGGAAAATAATAATAGCATAAACAGTTGGCCTTCTGTATCTATGGGTTCCACACACATGCATTCAAGCACCCACAGATCAAACAGGAAGAAAATTTACATTTATAATAAACATGTACATTTTTGTCATTATTCCTTACACAATATATCACACAACAACCATTTACATAGTATTAGGTGTATCTAGAGATAATGTGAAGTATAGGGGAAAAAGTGAGCAGATTGTATGTGATTTGAATCCCAAGGGATTCAAACTGGGTGTGGGAAGCATGCACCTATAGTCCCAGAACTCAAGAAGCTGAGGCAGAAGGACCACATGATCTCAGGGGATAACATAGTGAGACCCCATGTTTAAAAAAAGAAAGAAAACTGAAAACAGGAACTTAAGCATCCTCAAGGGGTCCTGGGACCAATCTTCTGCCAAAGATTTACTGAATACTAAGAAATTAGAGTATTGTTAGTATATATGGTGTGCAGGTACATGCCCACACACAGTCATATGTATATACATACACATAGAGAACACTGTGTACATATTCAATGTGTACCAGACACTGTTAAGAAGCACTCTCCCTATGTAACCTTATTTATTCCTCCCAACATCTATATAAAGTAGGTATTATTATCCTATTTTTATGGACAGAGAACCAGAAACACAGAATATTAATTAAATTATCCAGTGCTAAACAGCTGGTAAGGTGTGGAGCTGGGACATGAACCCAAAGAGGCTGTGCCCAGAAGCCATATTCTTTCCTTTTCAAGAGGTTGAAGGGTACTAGGGATTGAACCCAGCTCCCTGTGCATGCTTAGTCTGGGTTCCATAGTGAGGAACACTCCCAGCCCCACAGCCCGTCCTCTTAGGTCACTGTACTTTACTATTCTTTAATGCCTGACAACCAAACCACCAAGTCTCTGCTTTCATGGTACTCAGATAAGACTGAGAACAAATAGAAAAGAGCACATAAAAAAGACACCGAAGAGAAGAAATTTCAAAACAAAATCCCCAAAATGATCATTAATATGATCACATAAGATGATTATTCAAAAAGGGAGTGGGAAGGAAAAATTCCAGGAACAAGAGAGGTCTTGAAAACTGAATACAACAAAAATGAAGTAAAAGGGTTGAATTTAAGGTTCATAAAATATTAAAATAAAACAATAAAAGTGAAAATAGAAAAAATAAGAAATGAAGAGGCTCAGTCCAAGAAGTCTAAGTTGGAACATTTACAGACAGAACAGGTAACAGAGGAACAAAACAGCAATGAGAAAATGTCCCAGAATGGTAAGGCACATTTCTGGATTGAATGAGTGGAAAAGGACCCACATCACGGCCCATAAGAACACCAGGTTAAAGGGAAGACTCCAGAAGCTTGCAGGGAGCCAAATGCTGCATACAAAGGCTCAGGTGTTGGAATGCCAGTCTGTCAATCAAGTATGAATGCAGAAAAGAGGAAAATTCAGGCTTACAAGGTTTTAACTCATGCATTCCCCAGGTTCTCTTTTTTCACACACACTTTTGCCTTGTTTCCCCCTCATCTGCCACCCCTCCCTCAACCCCCCAGGCCAAGGACCAAACCCAGGGCCTTGGGCGCTAGTCAAGTGCTCTGCCTGAATTAAATAATCCCAACCCCTGACATGCCACCACTCCCCCACAACCCGGTGTGCCCCCCAATACTGGGGACTGATCCCAGGGGCATTCTCCCACCGAGCTACGTCCCCAGCCCTTTTCATTTTTTATTTTGAAATATGGTCTTGCTAAGTTGCTAAGGGTGGCCTGGAATTTGTGATCCTCCTGCCTCAGTTCTCCAGTTGTTGGATTACAGGTGCATGACATCAAGCCTGCCTCCACATATACACTTTATCATAAACCTACCTCAAGAATTTCTTGAGGTAAATTCTTATTAATTTCAATGAAAAATTTAAAAGCAACATGGAAGAGAAATATATTATAAAGTCATAAAAGACATAACAGTGATAACTGATTTAATCCCAAATTAACTATGATAGACTAATGAGACGAAGTGGTTCGGGAAGAGGGAGAAGGCAGATAATGAGAGCTAAATCCTCATTTCTTTTCTTTTCTTTTTTTTCTATTTTTGTGGTGCTGTGGATTGAACCAAGAGTTTCCTACATGGTATCCAAGCACACTACCACTGAACTTTTTCCCAGCCTACTAAATCATTATTTTCTATAATAAAAAGTCAATGCACATAGTTTGACAATCCGAAAAAAATCAACAATTATCATTATTAGTATATAATTAGAAACATAAAGCTCATACCAAAAGAAATAGCCAAGAATTGTAAGTAGCTGTCTCTTGGAAGTGGACATAATGGTCAAGGAGGAACAGGTCTGCTATTTTTTGATATAAGCCTATCAGAACTCTTAGATTTTAAATTTTTACAACTTTTTTTCCAACTTTGATAAAATTTTAAATCAATTTAAAAAGTGAATCATAATCAAGGTTTTCTTTCACAAATACTTTTAATATCAAACTTCAAAAAGTGAGCTGAATTCTCATAATTGTTACTGCTTCTAGTTAGCTGTGAAGTGTTATTTTTTTTCTTTTTTAAAATATTTTTTAGAGGTTGATAGATCTTTATTTTATTCATTTATTTGTATGTGGTGCTGAAAATCAAACCCAGTGTCTCACACATGCTAGGCAAGCACTGTATGACTGAGCCACAACCCTAGCCCACAAGGTGTTATTTTGATTGAAAAATATATATGTATTTTTAAATCAGCCAGGTGCAGTAGGATATGCTTATAATCCCAGTGACTCAGGAGGCTGATGTAGAAGGATCTCAAGTTTGAGGCCAGCCTGTGAGACCCTGTCTCAAAAAAAAAAGAGGACTGGGGATGTGGCTCAGCTGTAGAGTGTCCCCAAGTTCAATTCCAAGTATCACAAAACAACTGAAAAACAAACAAACAAAAAACCCTAACCACCTTGTAATATAGATATGTAGTTAAACAAAGCAGCTATTATTTAAAAAAAAATTTTTTGTAGTTGTAGATGAACATCATACTTATTTATTTTTTTATGTGGTACTAAGGATGGAACCCAGTACCTCACACATGCTAGGCCACAGCCTCAGCCCTCAAAGCAGTTATTTTAATAATCTTTCCAGGATATTCTTTTGACATGTCATCAAAATTTAATAAGTGGTAATATCTCAAAATTTAGTTGAGAATTTGAATGTGAAACCTGAAACTTTTTAGTGATTTTTTTTTCATATGCTTGTTACATTAATATATGTGACACTTTCACTTTTTAACTCATGCATGATTCTATAATGTTCTATACACTGGTCATCTGGAAAATACTGGTTCCTTAAGTTCATTATATGATAAAGCTATAGACATTAAAACGATACTGACACTGATCTCATCAGGAAATTCTGTAAATGTTGAGAAGCTGCCAAGTACATGATTGAAATGTTCCAAAATTCTTAGTTTTACTATAAAAGTTGGTTAAGTAAAATTTTACCATTTGCACACAAATATTAAAAGTTGAATTCCTTCAAGTGCCAGGCTCTCTTTATTTATTATGAGAAAATATCTGCCAAAATCCCACGTTTGAATAACTGTAGTCTATGCATAAATCATTCTTTCAGACAAAAACTATATGCCATGAAAAAGCAGATAGTTCAATCTGTACCTCAAACAACTGCACTTTTCCATATGATATTTCTGTATACTGCAGAAATGCTTTCTGTGGGGCTGGGGATGTATGTAGCTCAGTGGTAATGTGCTTGTCTAACCTGAGTGAGGGCCCTCTAACTCCAGCACCACAAAAAAAAAACAAAAACAAAAACAAACAAACAAACAAAAAAAAACACACACAAACACACACACAGAATTGCTTTGTGTTTATTTCACATTTTGTCAAACAGAATATTAATGATATATATTCAATGTTTGGGATTAATAAATCTTTGATTTGCTGGGTGTGGTAGTATACGCATGTAATCTCAGCTACTTGAGAGGTTGAGGTAGGAGGATCACAATTCTAGGCCAGACAGGGCAACTTAGAGAGAGACTGTCTCAAAATAAAATTAAAAAGTTTTACTGTTTCATCAAGGGTATTAATTGAAACCAGTGTTTCTTCTTTTTAAGAATACAATAATTTCTACTTCAATTTGCTGTCACTGCCTTGAATCCTGCTAATATTTGCATAATTTTACCCATCATTACTTCTGCAACATCTATGAAAGATCAACACAGTGTAGGTGGTAAATAATATCTTTACTATTAGGAAAACAGGGATCCTCTAAAAGATCCTTATTTTGAGAAATACCAGAAGATTAAAAAGTAATAGACATTTACCTCTTTCTTCTGTTCAGTAGGGGACAAGCATTTGGCACCAACCTTCTGAGCTTCCTCAAAAAGGCTATCAACAAAATATTCACAATTTGTTTGTTGATTATCACTAAGAGGTTGATTGTTGGATCCTGTTTCAGAAACCCTAAGCAAAGAAACAAAGAAAGCACTACTCATTACCAGAGCTCTAAAAATATATAGAAGTTATTCTAATTAAGGGATGTTGAACTGAGATGCTACCTCCAAGTCTGTGGTTCAGGTCCCCTTCTAAGTTAATATAAGATGTCACTAAGATGTAGACCCTACCGCCTATCTCACAAAGTGGTTGTGAAAATTAAATGCAAATACATATAAAAGTCTGTAGATGGTCTATAGTTAAGTCCTGTACACGTACTGGCACACAGAAAGCTCACAAATATTATATCATTATAATCACTTTGTACTTTCTGATATCTGCTTCTTTTGTTCAGAAAGCAGTTGGTGCTTAATAACTAATTAACAAACACAAAGCCACTAAAGCTGAGCAGGTAGAGTAGCTTAAGTTTTACTCCTTTATATTATCTATTAAACTTTATCTTGTGAATTCAAATGAATAAGAAATAGTTTATAAGAGGTTCAGAGTTGAGTGAGTGGAGATACAGGAACAGATATAATACAAAATGAATATAATAAGAGACATTTATGAGATACAGCTTAAAAAATCAGAGTTCTGGCTTCACTGAACAGGTGACAATGAGTTTCACATGTAAGAAACTATAAGGGGACAGAAAAAAAAAAAAGGGTAGGAAAGGCATTATGAACAACTCTATCCCACAAAAAAATTTAACTTAGATAAAATGACTAATTCCTTGAAAGGTAGAATCTATTGAAGTTCACTTAAGGAATAACAGAAAATCTGAATAAACTTGTATATTAATGAAGTAGAATCAATAATTAATAATTTTCCAAAACAGAAGGATGGGGCTTGGATGCGTTCACTAATTAATTCTACTAAACAATTAAGGAAAAAATGATACAGATTCTCTACAATCTCTTCCAGAAAACAGAAGCAAACAGAAAACTATGAGAATGGCATTACCCTCATACTAAAACCACACAAAGATATTTATGAGAAAAGAAAATATCAGAAAATGTCTTTCATGATCATAGATGTAAAATTCCTCCACAAAACATTAGCTGGGCACTGTAATCTCAGGGACTTGGGAGGCTGACACAGGAGGATCACAAGTTCAAAGCCAGACTCAGCAAAAGAAAGGTGCTAAGCAAGTCAGTGAGACCCGTCTCTAAATAAAATACAAAATAGGGCTGGAAATGTGGCTCAGTGGTTAAGTGTCCCTGAATTCAATCCCTAATACCCACCCCCCAAAAATTAACAAATGTAATCCAACAATGTGTTAAAAGGATTATATACCACAACCAGGTAGGATTTATTGTAGTTTATGCAAGTCTGATTCAATATCTGAAAATCAACTAATGTAATCTGTCCTTTAATAGGCTAAAGAAGAAAAATAATATGATTAAAGCCAACATATGAAGGAAAAAGCACTGACAACATCCAACACCCATTTAGGATAAAAGCTCCATGGCCTAGGAATAGAGGAGACTTCTTCTACTTGCATTTCCCTGATAACTAGTGACACTGGACATCTTTTCTTGATGTGGTGGTGCATGTCTGTAATCCCAGTGACATGGGAGGCTGAGGCAAGAGGATCTCAAATTCAAGGCCAGCCTCACCAACTTAGGGCCTATCTTCAAATAAAAAATAAGAAGGGCTGGGAACTCAATGGTAAAGCACCCCTGGGTTCAATCCCCAGCACAAAAACAAAGCAACAACAACAAAGACATTGGACATCTTTACATAATCATTGGCCATTTGTATGTCTTCTTTGGAAGTCCTTAGCCCATTTTAAAAATCAGATTATTAGGTTTTTTCTTTTTTTGCTTTTGAGTTGTAGGAGAAAGTTAACCCTTTATCAGATACATGGTTTGCAAATTCTTCCCATTCTGTAGTTTGTCTTTTCATTCTGTCCATGTTTCCTTTGCATCAGGTGAGGGACTATGAAATACCTATTTTAGCTGCAAAACAACCTCTTTTGCTCACTTTCTAATTCTACCTGGTTCTCTATAAATAAGAGTGTCAGCTGTTGTCCAAATAAGTGAAGGATTTGCATCTCTGTACACTTTGGTAGCACATACAATGAATATAGAGTTTCACTATTGTATTTGAACTGTTGAACAGTTTTTTGTTTTTTTTTTTTAAAAGAAATCAGTCTTCAACTTTTGCCAACTGTTGTTTTTAACAAAATATTCATTGGGCTGGGGATGTGGCTCAAGTGGTAACGCGCTCGCCTGGCATGCGCGGGGCGCTGGGTTCAATCCTCAGCACCACATAAAAATAAAATAAAGATGTTGTGTCCACTGAAAACTAAAAAATAAATATTAAAAAAATTCTCTCTCTCTCAAAAAAAAATTCATTCATTTATTTATTGTGGTACAGGCATTCATTCTTTCATTGTGATACTGCAGCCCTTTTTATTTTGAGACAGGGTCTTGATAAATTGCACAAGGTAATCTGGAACTTGCAATTCTCTTGCCTCAGTTTTTTAGTTGCTGGGATTGCCAAGCATCTGCCACTATGCACAGTTTAAACAAATCAATTTGTAACACTTAAACAAATCAATTGAAAAATTTAAACAAATCAATTTGTCACAAAAAAAAGATTACAAATGTGCCAGGTGCAGTGGTCCACAACTGTAGCCCCTTACACTTGGTAGGCTGAGGCAGGAGGACCACAAGTTTAAGACCAGCCTGGACAAAATAATGAGACCCACATCTTATAAATAAATAAATAACAAAAAACAAAACAACAGCAGCACAAAGCAACACTAGGCTCATCTCCAATAAACCTGCATGGTGGACAACACTTCATATGTGTTATCACAACTTATTACTAGGGGAATTAAGTGCATCCTGTGACTCCATTATCAGAGAACTCTTCAAGTTTGTATATGATTTGCCCTAGGCTATGTCCCACGTATTTTCGCACCTTGTAACTCTTCACTGCAATAAATTATAGCCATAAATAAGACTATGAAGACTACATACTAAATCCTGTGACTCCTCCTAAAAAACAAAATGAAACCTGAGAGTGGTCTTGTTCTCAGACACAATCTCACAATTATATAATAAATAATCAAATTTATATAAACCAATAAATGCCCAAATGGGGGGGATACAAATATTTCTTTGGTGTGGGTATCTATCTTTTTTTTTTTGGTACCCCTTGAACCCGGGGGTGCTCAATCACTAATCACTAAGTCACATCCCTGGCCCTCTTTTTATTTTTAGACAGGATCTTGCTAAGTAGCTGAGGTTAGTCTTGAATTTGTGATCCTTCTGCCTTAGTCTCCTGATTTTTTGGGATTACAGGTGTGCTCCAACATGCCTGGCCAGTTCTGACTTCTTAAAATGTACTGTAAATAAATTAAATTTACCTTGCCAAGTTTTTAAAACAATGAGGATAAGACAAAAATAAATATTTAACTTTAGATAAGCGAGAATAAAACATCCTATATTGATAAGAGCCATAGACTTTGCACTTACCATTCACTGAGAGCCAATACATGCTAATACTTTGCTAAGTGTATTGTATTCTTTATGTCATTCTCATAAAAACCATCTAGATAGGTAGATATTTACATTCCCATTTTATAGACATGATATCGAAATTCAATGAATCTACCTAAGTTGCCCATAGGTCAAAAAAGAAATAGAAGGCAAAGATAGGATTTAAACCTATGTTTATCAGACTCCCAAACCATCATATTTCTACTATGTCTCCAAGATAGTATAAGAGGCTAATGAGGTAGTTAAACTTTTCACTTCTGAGAGGTAACGTGTGAATAGAGAGAAATTCAACACTTGTTTCAATTAATGAAAGATTTAGGGTTGGGGTCATGGCTCAAGGGTAGAGTGCTTGTGTAGCATGTGTGAGGCACTGGGTTTGATCCTCAGCACTGCATATAAAGAAATAAAATAAGTAAAGGTCCATCAACAACTAAAAACAAAAAAAATTCAAAAACAAAATAAAAGATTTAGTAATTTCATTACAATCTGTTCAATGAAGATATGGTTTAAAAAACTACTTCAAAATATAGTATTTATATACTACCATTTAAAAACTACTATTATTGTTTTTGCCTGTGGCTGCAGGTATTGCTCAGTGGTAGAAAGCTTGCCTAGTATGTGTAGGCTCTGGGTTCCATGCCCAGAACTGGGGAGATAGATATACTGTAAGATATTTACTATTATATATATATATTTTATGATTAGATAATTACCATTAGATATTTACTGAAAAAAATATACATACTTAAAACTTACTTTATTATCTTTGCCAGTGACATGTAATACAAATAGAGAATAATAATAACAAAAGCATTAACAAAGAAATTCATAATTTTAATTAACTTACCACTTCTCTTTTATACTTTCAAGATTATCTACTTCTTTCATTCTCTTTGTGTTACTATAAAAGTAAAAAAACAAAAGCAAAAGTTCCCAATTTAGTATTTTAAACAAATCATTATTATGTATGCATCAATATATTTCAATATATAAATTATCAGGTAAGTCTGAAGTTGCATTAAAAGGGTCTTAGAAACAAGTGACCAAACTCAGAATTGTCACTTTTCATGTATAAAAAAAGCAATAATAAATATTAGCTTTGTATATAACTATCAAGATAGCCATCTCCCAACCCCTGAATAAAGTCTTTAGTATGTGTCATTTGAAAAAAATTATCATATATATATACACACACACATATATATATACTTACATACACACACATATATATACTTACATACACACACATATATACATATGTGTATACATATATATCTATCAAATTTTTTTTTTCTAATGGTACTAAGGATTGAATTCAGAGGTGCTGTACCACTGAGCTACATTCCATCCCTTTTTAAATTTTGAGTCAGAGTCTAACTAGTTTTTTATTTTGAGTCAAGGTCTCACTAATTGCTAAGGCTGGCCTAGAATTTGTAATCCTGCTGCCTCAGTCTCCTAAGTCACTGGGATTACAGGCATGTGCCACCACGCCCAGCTGAAAAGAGTAATTTTTTATGTGCTAGTATGAAGAACCCTAGGGGAAAACAGAGCTTCCAGCATTCAAATTATTAGTAATATTATGTTTTGTTTTATAGATGGACAGCATGCCTTTATTTCATTCGTGTATTTTTTTTTAATGTGGTGCTGAGGATCAAACCCAGTGCCTCTCACGTCCAAGGCGAGAGCTCTGCCACTGAGCTCCAGCTCCAGCCCATGGTTGTTTTTATGAAACTACAGTACAAGGATAAAGGAGACGGTCTCCACCAGGAGACTCTCAGAGGACAGATGGCAGTCAGTAGCTAGAGATATTTTTGATTGTCACAACTAAGGAACAAGAATAATATTGCCCCCACAAGAAAGAATTATTCTGCCTGAAATGCAATAGTGTTTAAGTTGAGAAACCTGGAATAAGGCAAAGAAGTAATTATAATTATTGCTGAAAAGAAAAAAAAAACAAAAAACAAGATATTTTTGGTCAGAGTTAAAGAGATACATAACAATCAAAGAAACCAAGGAAAATTCCTATTATCCTAAATTTTAAATTGGAAATATCAATAAACTCCTGTGTTTTTTCTTAAAAAATTACATATGAGTTCTGTCCACCTGAAAAGGCCCCAAAGCAACCATCAATCCAATTAACAATGAATAACTCTGGTGACAGATGTATGGTCTCCTAATATCATTTCCTAATAAAAGGAATCAACTTTTACTAGAGAAAAGGCTGACTTCGGATCTGGGATAGAAAATGTGCACTGGGTACCTGATATATCTTGCCATCTTGGATTAGTGTCAAAGGGATTCAGAAGTCAATTTGAAGAGGTTTATTTCTATTGGCCAGAGAATGGACCAAAAAAAAAATTAAAAACTTAACATTAATTGAAACACAAGTATGAATTCATAATAATACTCATTTTAAAAAAAGAAATTGTTAGTAGTCTTCTTTCAAGAATTCTAGAGTCCGAGTGAGGCACAGTGGTGTATACCTGAAATTCTAGTTACTCCAGAGGCTCAATCAGGAGAAGTTCCAGGCCTGTGTGGGCAACTCAGTAAGACCCTATTCCAAAATAAAAATAAAAGAGCTGGAAGTGGGGGTGGGGCTGGGGCTAAGTGGTAGAGCGCTTGCCTAGCATGTGTGAGGCACTGGGTTTGAGGGAGGGAGGGAGGGAGGGAGGAAGGAAGGAAGGAAGGGTATTGAGTCCATCTACAACTAAAAAAATATTAAAAAATAATTAAATAAAAGGGCTGAGGAGATAAAATAAAACTAAAATTAAAAGTCAGGTGGTAGAATGCTTTCCTTCACGTGTGAGGCCCTGGGTTTAACCCACCACCACAAAAATAAAATAAAATAATAGTAATAATAAATCTGGACTACTAGGATCCCAGCTCTGTGTATGTGGGAACTGAACCTAAGGGTGCTTTACCATTGACCTACATCCTCAGTCCTTTTTATTTTGAGACAGGGTCTCATTAAACTGCTGAGGCTAGCCTGGAACTTGCCACCCTCCTGCCTTAGCCTGAGTAGCTGGGATTACAGATTGTGCCACCGGCTGCTGCTGCCTTTTTTTTTTTTTTTTGAGGTGGGGGTCTTGTCACATTGCCCAGGCTAGCTAGTCTCAAAATCCTGGACTCAAGTGATCATTCTGCCTCAGACTATTGAGTAGCTGGGACACAGGCACCTGGATTCCCAATTCTTTATTTTGAAAACTAATAAATAAGGGAAAGAAACAAATAAGCATCCTGTCTGTACATTCTCAGTAACCAAAGAGTTAATGCAAGAAGCTTTCTTTATAAATAACTCCACTTAATTGAAATTGTATAGAAATAGAACACCTCCAATTTGCTACTCGTAATGTAATAATGGATCTAGACAATATCAATAACTAATGACAGCACAAAAAAGAGCTAACCAAAAATAAATGTATGCCTCAGTATACAAATTTTCACCACCATTTATAGAGAATTCTTGCCCAAAATGTGAATCTGAATCCATTCAAGCCTCTAGATCTAACTACCATATTAGAGGAAATACAGGGTATAAAGGAACATAATCAGATGATATCATGGGGATTTAATCAAATATTTAGAATGTGGGAAATTCTGTAGGATAAATGATACACTTTCTTCAATATATATAGTACCAGAGAGAGTGACGTAGATTTTTAAAAAGAAATTTATCAATGTATTACAACATGTGGATCATTATGTAGGCTCTCCCCCACCCCCACCCCGTCCGAGTACCAGGGATTAAACTCAAGGGTGCTAAATCACCGAGCTTCATTCCCCAGCCTTTTTATATTTTATTTTGAAACAGGGTCTTGCTAAATTATTCAGAGCCTCCCTAAATTGCTGAGGCTGACTTTGAACTCGCAATTCTCCAGCCTCAGCCCTCACGAGCTGCTGGAATTGCAGGCTATAGATTTTATTTAATTCACCTGTCCAAAAAAAAAAAAAAGTTATGGAATCAGGAACATATGAATATTTGTTGTGACTGGATATTTGATGTTACTGCAGAGTAAAAATTACCTTAAAATATATATATTTGGTTAGCCATGATGGCACACACCTGTAATCCCAGTGATGCAAGAGGCTGAAACAGGAGGATCATAGGTTTAAGGCCAGTCTCAGCAGCTTAGCAAGACCCTGACTCAAAGTAAAAAACAAAAAGACCTGGGATTTGGCAACACATGTACACATATACACATTTGGCTGGGAGTGGCGGTGCATGCCTATAATCCTAGCAATTTGGAAGGCTAAGGCAGGAGGCCAGTGGTACAGCAAATGGGTTCTCCATTATGACAACAAAATAAAAAATAAAAGTAAACACACACACACACACACACACACTCACTCTCTCTCTCTCTCTCTCTTACACACACACTTAATGCTGAAGCAGAAGGATTACAATTTCAAGTTTAAGGCTGGCCTGGGCAACTGTCTAGATCCTGTCTTAAAACTTAAAAAATGTAGAAAGGGTTGTGGGTGTAGCTTAGTGGCAGAGTGCCCCTGGATTCAATCCCTAGCAGCATACATATGCGCACACACACCCACACAGACTTAAAGATAAATTTGTAAAGAGTAAAACTAAAAAAGCGTAATAAGACATATGGTTTACTCATGGCTTGAAGGTAATGTGGAACAGTGAGAAATTTTAATAGTACATGGAAGTGCTATGTGAAGTCAACACAGACAACAGTTATGAACTGCCCACTGGGAAAAATCAGCTTGTTCTAGCTAATATGGAATGTTTGGGGTAACTAAACTGAGTAAAACACAACTAGATTGATTACAGAAAGAAAGAAAAAAAAAAAAAGACACAATAACTTTTTAACATTTTATTTATTTTTTTATTTCTTTGAATTTTTATTTCATTTTATTAGTTTTCGGCAGACACAACATCTTTGTTTGTATGTGGTGCTGAGGATCGAACCCGGGCCAAACGCATGCCAGGCGAGCTTGCTACCACTTGAGCCACATCCCCAACCCCACTTTTTAACATTTTAAAGTTGAACTTTAAGGATAGCAAACTGAGTATAGACTGGGCAATTTATCAACACCCTGTCTCAAAAAATTAATTAATTTATTTATTAAAATTAAAAGGGGGGCTGGGGATGTGGCTCAAGCGGTAGCGCGCTCACCGGGCATGCGTGCGGCCAGGGTTCGATCCTCAGCACCTCATACAAACAAAGATGTTGTATCCGCCAAGAACTAAAAAATAAATAAAAAAATAAAATTAAAAGGGTTGGGGAAGTAGTTCAATGGTAGAGCACTTGCCTAGTATGCATGAGGTCTTACATTCAACCCCTGGTACAAAAAACAAACCAAACCAAACCAAAACTAAAATAACTAAAAAGGGGGCTGGGGATGTGGCTCAAGCGGTAGCGCGCTCGCCTGGCATGCGTGCAGCCCGGGTTTGATCCTCAGCACCACATACAAACAAAGATGTTGTGTCCGCCGAAAGCTAAAAAATAGATATTTAAAAAAAAATTCTCTCTCTCAAAAAAAAAATTAAAATAAAATAACTAAAAAGTTTTGGAGTGCAGCCCAGCTGGACATTGGGGTACATACCTGTAATTCCAGCAACTGGGGAGGCTGAGGCAGGAGTATCACAAATTCAAGGCTGGCCTTGGCAATTTAACAAGATCCTATTTCAAAATAAAAATAAAAAAAGAATTGGAGATATAGACAGTTGTAGAGGGCCTGGGGATTAAACCCTCAGTACCAGGGGAAAAAAAAAAAAACATAAAAATGCCACGTTTTAAGCATATTTAAGAAGAATGCAGATCTGCTCATTAATAGTCACTGAAAAATCCATCAGATTCCACTCAAACCAGTTCCAGAAAGTAGGCACAGAAACATTCTATGACTCTCATTCCAAATCTTCAAAATATCTGGAGG